CCCCCCCCCCCAGGCTCGTAGTCACGACGTTCTCTGTTCTCTATCGTCGAAACAACTTGGGTATATTGGCTCAACTATTCAAGGATGTTGAGAATGGCGGCGGCCAAGCCAGTTGACGATCCCGTCTCGTCTGAACCGCTTTGGGTTTCTAGTACAGTAGTGACACCTATCTACCTAATGAGATGCTCAACTTGACGTCCATCTGCCTATTTCCAGGACAGTTTTCGGCAGGAGTACGCATGAAAAGGACATTAATCAGAAGCCCGGTGAATTGAACATCTGACCAATGATTTCTTTCAGCGTTCTTCGCATCATGCGTCTTTCCTTCTATCAATACAGCCCCATCACCGCTCAACGGTGCCACTTCCTGTCCCAACGCCGTCCTATATGCTGTATAGGTGTAGAAGAAGAAAAAAGAGGAGAGTAGAAAATATGTAAGAGTAGACCCAAGTTGAGACTACAAAAGGGGGGAAGAGGAGAGTAGTGCAAGCCATATGCGGCCAGCTCCAACCCGCCGCGCTTCGCCCCTTTGAAAATGCACCATCCAGGTAAAAAAGGTTCGAAACCCCGATGGCGATGGGAGCGAAGACACCACAAGAAAAATCTCCCCCAAGCTGCCGTGCTCCTATCCATGGCCATGAACGGAGTATGTAGCAAGCCATAATGCAGAACAGGGCATCCATATCCATCCCGCTTTCCCCTCCTAGTCCCTCAACCAAGCCCTCCTCTTCTCCTCCTTCCTCGCCCGCCTCTTCTCCTTGAACTGCTTCAGCTCCGCCTTGCTGGGCTTCTTCCCCGACCGCTCGGCCTTGAGGCTGCGGCCGTCATGGGCATTCGCGGCAGCATCGACATCAAAGTAGGCGTGCATCTGGCGCCGGCTCTTCGCCTCGTCCGAGTGCCGCTCGGGACCCTCGTCCTGCCGCTGGAAGACGCCCGTGAAGCGGTTGAAGGTCGCCAGGGCGGTCGGGTCGGCCAGCATCGCGAGCTGCTGCTGTTGTTGCTGGGCGGCCTCGTCGCCGTCTTGTCCGGCGGGTTGCGCGTACCAGGCGTTTGGGTCGTAGTCGCCGTGGATGGCGGGGTTGTAGCCCCCCGCGACCGGGCTGGTGGAAGGGGGTGGAGGCGGGGCTGTGGGGTATGAGGATGATGAGGCCGCCGCGACGGAGAAGGAGGAGGGCGAGGGGTCGGATGGGGCGGCGGGTTGGGGGGGCGGTTGGGCCCCTGTCGCTGTCGTTGTTGTCGTTGTTGTTTTGCTGCTGCTGGAGGGTACGCGTGGGTTTTCCCACTGCGAGGCGCCGGTGAAGCGGTTGTAGAAGAAGTAGGCCTGGTGGTGAGCGTCCCAGTGGAAGTCCCAGCCGTCGTCTTCGGTGGCGGGAGGTTGCTCGCTGGGGAGAGGGGGCGGTTCGTTGGGGAGGGGAGGTGCGGGCGCGTCGGACGAGGTACGCGCGGCGGCGGCGTCGTCGTCGTCGTCGTCGTCTTCGGCAGGTGTGTTTTCCGAACGGGAACGCGGAGAGCTTGGAGAGGCCTCGCCTGACTCTAGAGATTCGGGGGGTTCGTGAGAATCTGTTCGGTCGCGTGACGAGTCCCGTTTTTCCTGATCCTCGTTTTGGAGACTCGAGGTGCTGGATTCTGGCTCGGGTGTTCGATGATCTTCGGACTTTGTATCGTTGGGTTTGGAGTCGGCGACTTGCGCCTCTCGTGGGGGCGAGGGAGGGTGAGAGGCCATTGTGGAGGTGCGAGGTGCGAGGTGCGGGAAGACGCAGGTCCTAGAGCACTACCTTCTGCTACGTATCACGGATCACCGAGTAACCGACAAAGAGAAGGCGGAATGGAGCTTCATAATCATGAACTCTGGTCTCGCGGGCGGGACGGGCGTTTGCCTTTGTTGTCAATGTCTGTAATTACGTGATTGGAAAGCAGGTTGTCTTTAATCCTGGTCTCTGGGAACTTTGCGGTGTTTTGTTATGTTTCCAATCTTCATGTGGTTTCCGCAACGCTTTTTACCGAGTACGTCGAGAAGGTCACTTTGGTCGACGTGGTGGAAAAAGACAGGAACGCAGAGGTCTGCCAAGCCAAGAGCCAAGACAGACGTCATTTGTATTACCTAAGGTACACGTGTACCTGATGCATGCAGTGACGAAGGACGCACCTGCGAAGTACTTCACGTGGTATTTCTCGTGACTCCAAAATCACACTTCTCCGTAGCTCCAATGCTGAACAAGCCATGTAGCTCAATACTAATTTAAGACGAAGGCATTAACATTGCTTTCATAATACAACCAAGGTACTAATTACATAACAACCTTGGTTGCAAACATGATGGGCTACGCACTCATTCCACTTCTGCATGAAGTGCATGTGTCTCTATATAAGGTAAGTGCAGGTCTCCGGGTTCTGCGGATATACCCATCAGCCAGACCCCCCAGCACAGCGATCCTCTCTCGAGGGGAATATCAACCATCAATCACACGACACGCCTGTGAGCCTATCCCCAGATCGACGATCGGCGAAGATCAACGAAACGACGGACCGGCTGCCCTTTTGTCTTACCCTGCCTGCCTGAATGTTTGAAGCGGGGACGAATCGTGTGCCCGATGGAATTGCTTTGCCTGGACGAACGACTCGACCTATTGAAGTACCCATTGTAGCGTGCTATCACGCAGCCTCCTCAGGGGTCAGCGATAAAATCCATGGCTCTCTCGAGTGCGGGGTTCGCCGTTTTCAGCCCTAGTGCATGCCTCTTGTCTCTCGCCTCTTCCGAACATCATCGTCCTTCCCTTCCGGGTTATTCTTAACCTTTTGCTCGAACTAAAAAGCAAGCACTAATTATCGCCAAATTGGTCGTGGTGAGCCTGCAGGGTAGAACTAATGTGTCGCGGCTTGCGGGCTGCTGGCGTCCGTCCCCATGAACGGGCATGAACGGGGGCGAGACGACATGCAACCCTTGTCACCCCGAACCCCAGACACACCGCATGGCTCGACTTGCTTGAGGATCCGAGCCCCAGTGCTGGTTTCTTCTACACTAATTACGTGTCTGTACCGTACCAATCATTCCCTTGCTTTGGGCAGCCGTGGATTTCCTGGCTTTTCTTTTGCTTTTAGCTCGAGGTACGTACAGTGCACTAGTGAGCAAAAGTTTCGTGATAACCCAAGTAGAATGCTTCGAAGCTTTGGAGGCACATTTTTCTATCAGTGGCAAAATCATATCATATTACAAAAGTAACGAATCACTGGATCTTTGAAATATACCGAAATTATTGCTTACCCACTGTACCTAGGAAGTAATTAAGGTAATGAGATTACGATCCCATCGTAACCTGGAATGGAATAAGGTAACCTAAGGTATCTTACCTACCGTGCCTAAGGTAAGGTACCTAAGACTGGTTGTCGGACCTACAAAGTACTGTATACACGCCACCCGCTGCTACTCTATTCCGTCATACCGGTGCTAATCCTTTGCGTTGGGCTTGTTTCAGCACGAACGGAGTACCTACGTATGTACGTCGTACGTTGTAGTTGTTTTGTCACACAGTCACAGTCACAGTCACAGTCAGAAATCTGCAGAGTTGTGTGTGCGTGTGTGGGTGCTTCCGGCATGACTTGTCTTGGCCTTCTCTCTCCTCGGGCCCCCTTCTTCCAGCCTCCCCGCACTCTCCATCCCCAGACCCTCCACAATGCAGGCCTTCCAGCCCGTTGTTTCCAAGACGTCCGAGCGCACGCCAATTGAAGGGCCTGCAGGCTCAACGGTGCCAGCTTGGGTACATATTAGCGTGAGGAAAGCCTGGATTCGGTAAAGGTACGGCGTGCCTCGACAGGGGGGAAGAGGAGGCAAAAGGAGAGGGCCACCTTCAGTCGGGAGTCCCCGTTTTCTGCTGCTCTGCCTCCCCTGGCCCGTTTAATTTATGTATGCATGTCGAGTTTTGAAAGGGCGTGGCCAAGTCCGCATGACCTTAATGTAATCTTTTATACCCCGTGCTCCGGCACTTTTCTGGTTTCCGGGCTCGGTACCAGTCGATCCGCCCCTCTCGCCTTCTTTTGTCTCTCTCTCTCTCTCTCCAGGCGCACCAGGCAAACGAAGAGGAAACAGATAAACAACAAACCCCCCAGGCCTGCAGACAATGAGGCCCAGAATAACTTCCTCGATCATCCTGGCCGCCGGGGCGGTCGCCTCTGCGTCGCCGTCGTGGCCGGCCTCCAGCAGCAGCAGCAGCAGCAGCCGCCTCGATGCTCGGCAGTCGAGTTCCGAATGCTCGGCATTACACATCATCGGCGCGCGAGAAGCAAACGCAGACATGGGCTACGGTTCCACGGAACCCTTCGTCACCATGCTGCTCGATAACCTCCCCGAGGTCACGGCCGAGCCTCTCAAGTACCCTGCCCTCGGCGGCGACGACTACCATGCGAGCGTTTCGTACGGTCTTGGGGTCTTGATGAACGAAACCCAGCGGATTTTCGACCGCTGTCCGGAGACCAAGATGATCTTGGTCGGCTACTCGACGGTACGTCCCTCGAAAGAAGAACGACTTTGCTTGGGGCATTCGAATGACAGGGCGGAAGCGCTAACGCTGGGACCCGACTGTACAGGGTGCACAAATTATAGACGACGTACTCTGCGGGGGACCCGACCCCCCCAGCCTGGTGACAGATACGATTCTCATGCCACCGGAGATAGGGAAGAAGATTGCCGCCGTGATTTGGTTCGGGAACCCGCGGTTCATCGGCGGGATGCCGTATAATGTTGGCACAGCAGAGTTGGGCGGAGTAAGTCTTGTCCCACCTGTGCTCCTTTTTTTTTTTTTTTCTTCTTTCTTCTTTTCTTTTTTCTTCTTTCTTTCTTCAGACACATTCCTCTTCGCGACTCTCGGCCATCGAAGCTGACCCTGCCTCCAGTTCGCAGCCCGGCAAGAAGGCTTCGTATGCGAAACATACGCCGACAGGATCCGATCATACTGCGACGCCGGCGACCTGTACTGCTCGCAAGGCGACAGCGAACTCACACACGGCACGTACCCCGTCAAATACGGAGGCTCGGCCCTCAGGTTCATCCAGCAACGGCTGGGCATTAACTCGACGGCGGGTGAGCCCTTTGAGACCCATGGCGACAGGCCCAGCGCGGGCAACTGGATCAGCAGGCCGAGCCACGGCGTCGGATTTTTGGCACTGGGAACAACATTAGCGCTGCTCCTTTCCTGAAGCGTATTTTATTTTCTTCGACGGAATGACGGGCCGAGGGCCAAGTTGTTTCGAGCCATGAGAGGCGTATATGGAGTCGATCTGTGCGAGCATAGGCGTCAGGGCGCAGGCTATATCTAAAATACATCTTGATGGACGTTTTTTTTTTTTTTTATGGCATCATCTGCCAGTGGGAAAGGGGCGAGGACCGACGGCGGATTGAGACTCTCGTTTCCGACCTGGGATACTGAGCTGTCTTATTGTCAAGCCGAAGAGAGAAAACAGTGATAGGACTGTAGGACACCTGTATCTATGATTTGTTTTTGGGACTTTCAGCCGAGACTTTTTTGGTGCCTTATGGAGGCGAAAGACCAATTCTCGCTCCCAGAACCTTTAGCCGATTAACATGTAATAAGAGTGTAATATTCTAGTGGCCCGTAGAACTCGAAGAATGTAGGGCAGGCTAGCAGAGAGACAGGGCCAGTCAAAGACTTGTCGGCTGCGAATCGTGTCAGCCATCATCGCCACGACTTTCTCCTGTGAGTCCTGTCCGATTTTCTCGTTTCTTACCTCGCAATATCAATAAAAGCAGGCTTACATAAGACACTGCGAGACCTAACAGGGTCTCTCGTTTTAACGCAATTAATGGCCGAGCCAAGTGGGCCTGGCCTCTCCAGGCCACCGACGAGTCTACGTACTTTGTACTTTGTGCTTTGTACTTTGTACACCGAGCTAGCGATCCTGCAGTGAGACTTCTCACCCAAAAACCACCTCCCCTTAGTTCAAAGCGCTTGCCCTCAACAAACTTCCACGAACAGCAGGGACGGACAGCGAGAACGAACGTCGCAACTCTCGAAATTCCACCGAAAACGTCGTCTACAAGATGGCCGACACTGTAGCTGCGCCGGCCAAGCCGCAAAAGCGGCCCTCGTCCCCCGTCAAGACGGGCTACTTGATCCTGTACAACGCCGTCTCGGCCATCGCCTGGCTCGTCGTCCTCGGCCGCACCGCAGCCCTCTACCAGCTTCGCGGGCCCGGCTTCGTCTGGCTCGGCGTCGGCGACTGGACGAGATGGACGCAGACCATAGCCGGCATGGAGATTCTGCACGCATTGCTCGGTACGTATCTCTTCTCTGCGTCTGGGGTGCTGGTGCTGTCGGCCTTGCAGCATCGGATCCTGCCCCGTAGCGCGTACGAGTGAGCACGAAGATCACCGAACCCGCTGACCCAATTGTCGCCTCTCCTTCTCGATACAGGCGTCGTCCGCGCCCCCTTCTCCACGACGGCTATGCAGGTCGCCAGCCGCTACCTCCTCGTCTGGGGCATCGTCTACCCTTTCCCCTGGCTGGCGCGCAGCCCCTTCTACACCTCCATGCTCCTGGCCTGGAGCGTCACCGAGGTGATCCGATACACGTTCTTCGCCTTGTCGCTGAGTGGGGTCCAGCCTAAATCGCTGGTCTGGCTTCGCTATAACACCTTCTTCGTGCTGTATCCCATCGGCATCCTGAGCGAATGCGCCATGATCTACGCCGGGGCAGAGCCTGCGAGGGAGTACGGGGAGATGGTCCCCTATATCAACTATGCCATCTTGGCTATTTATATTCCAGGTGAGTGGACGGACTGTGCGCGGGCCCCATTCGTCAAAGGGCCGTAATGTTGACGCGCGCTGGCGCTCGTAGGCTCGTATGTCATGTATACGCATATGATGAAGCAGCGGCGTAAGGTCATGCGCAGTCTGAAGGCCGACGCATCGGCAGCGAAGACTCGATAGATTCTCGAGTGCCGTCTCGGCATTCAAATGAACACAAGGGCAGAGAGGACCCGGACTCGAAACGATACAAATATAGAATGGGTAGGTTCGTCGGTCGCATGGGTATTTTGGGGGAACAAAAAGAAGGGCTGGGAATCACTTAGCCAACATGGCGCCCTATTCTTAATACAACTCTTGTTTATCAACCATTGTCATGCCCAAGGGTTATCTTCCAGCCCAAAAGTCCCGCCCCTCGACACCCCAGGCCCAGGCCCAGGCCCCGGCGCCTGCCCAACCGGCCTCTGCTGCTCCCCTCCATCCGGATCCGGACCCATTTGAATTTCCAAGGCGGGCCCGCTACGCTCATACCACTCGTTCTTCGTCCACTTCACAATCAGCGCCTTCGCCTCCTCAGCCAAGGCCTCATACCCCGGGTTCAGCGCGAGCTCAAACATGGACGTGTGCGCCAGCGTCTCGTCCGTAGCAGCGTCATTCACAGCCTCCCGCCACAACCCCACGGCGCCCACGTCCCCGTCGCCCCCCCGGCGGTTATGGTGTTTGGGCAAGTTACAGAAAGTCCGGTCCCTGCCCAGCACGGTGCCGACAACACCGACCTCCCTGGACCCCGCGGCGCGCCCGAGCCGCGTGTAGAGGTTGGCGAAGCCGACGTCGAGCTCCTGGCTCAGGCGCGCCATGTAGCGCACGCGCTTCTGCAGCTCGGCGCCCCGCGCGAGGCAGCCCACGAACTCGAGGTGCGAGGTCGCCCACGTCCACCCTTGCGTCAGCTGGTCGCGGTTCATGTAGGCGGCTGCCCCGCCCGCGGCGACGGCGGCGGCGCCCCCTGCTATGGCGGCGATTTTGCCCCATTTGGCCCAGGGGGAGGCTTGCCGTTGTTGGTCTTGTTGTTGTTGCTGCTGCTGCTGCTGCTGCCTCTGCTGGTCGTTTGTCGGCGGCGGCGGCGGCGGCGGCGGTGGTGGTGGTAGGGCGGCACGGGGGGTGTTGCTTCTCGAGGACGAGGCGGCGCCGGCGCCTGACTTGGAGGTGGCGCCCCAGAGCGCGGTGCCGAGGCCGCTTAGCTGGGTCAGGGCGGCCGAAGCGGTCGTGTAGTGGTCCTCGGCGCCGTGGGCGACGACACCAGGGGAGATGCCTAGGTAGGGCGTGTCGAAGGCGAGGACGCCCTGGATGTAGGGGAACATGAGGGCGTTGAGCGAAGTGGGTGCTTCGGTAGATTTCTCGATGCCGTCTTCGGTGTATATGGGATGGTCGGCGGTGAGACCTATGACGGTCTCGGCGGCTACGATGCCGCCCATGGAGTGTCCGAGGAGAATGGTACGCACGGAGGGGTCCACCGTGGGGGAAGGGGTTCCGGCAGCTACCTCGAGGTCGATGACTTTTTCGAGCAGCCTGATGAGTGAGTAAGTAGGTAATAGGGGGGGGCAGGAGGGTAGGTAAGGTATAGAACAACGGGCAACGCATACCAGTCGCGAAAGCGACTCACGCAGTCGCCCAGGTCCCCCTTCGTCTCATACTTCGGGTATATAAGAACTTTGACGTCGATTTTAGGGAGCTCATCCTGAACGAGAGAGCGCAAGTCATTTGTGAACTGAGATTTGAGTCCGAAGGTGTCCTCACCACCCTACATAGCGCCATTGTCGTCAGCACCAGCACCAGCACCAGCACCAGCACCAGCACAAGTGACGGGGTATACTCGCCTTGAATCCGTGTATGAAACACAGGATCAATGTCTTCATATTGAGGGCTGACGCCCAGGCCAAGGATGATCTGAGTGAAGGGATAATGGAGATGTATGGGTGAATGAAGAGGGTTCCGATACTCGGGACTTGTCGCTGACGGAACATCAAGGGGGGGGGAGGGTGGGGACCCCGCTAGCCACCCCACCACGCCGGATAGCCTTTATGTGTGGGGCGCTGTGGTACCTTATCTACCTAGGTACCTTAGATACCAGACGAAGTACCTTGGCGCACAATTACTCCGTACACTACTTCGTACCGACATGTCCTCAGACGTACCTAAGGTTACCTTACCTTAGGCGCCTACCTTACCAAATAAGGGACATGCAAAAACGCATCCCAGCGTCCCAAGGGATTGATCTGCGAAACTTCAAGTGAAAAGGACAATTCTTGCCTGCTCTATGCATTACCGACACTACACTAACACAGCCATCGCTTTGCAATTCCGCGCCCTCAGTACGTGGCAGCCAATCTCTGCACGAGGTAATCGCCGCTCTTGACCCCTTTGTATTTTTTCTCGGCCTCCGAGGCGAATGTCCCCGGCAAAGCGTCAATGTAGCTGTCAAAGTTGGGATTGCAAAAATACCTATTCCCACAGCAACGACTCTCTTGTCAGCACGACACACACATTTACAACAACAGGTAGGGGTAGAACTCAGGTAGGGGGTAGAACTCACGCGATGCTATACCGAGAAGGATACTCCCCGCTGTCGCCGGCTTTCCGCGGAGGCTCAACGACACGGTGAATGGTGCTCTTGATGGTATCGTTGCTCCAGCGCGCGAGCAAGTCGCCCGCATTGACCACGACGGTCCCCTCGATGGGCGTCGCGTCGACGAAGCCGCCCTGCGGGCTCCGGACCTGCAAGCCGCCGCGGTCGTCCTGGAAGAGGAGGGTGATGGAGCCGTAGTCGCTGTGCTCGCCGGCGCGCACCTGGTTCGGGTTCGCGTCGAAGACGCCGCGGCGGACGGCCGGGTAGTGGAGGAGGCGGAGGGTGTTTTCGCCGTCGTCGGTGAAGGGGTCGAAGAAGGACTCGGGGAGGCCCATGCCGACGGCGATGGCGCGCATGACGTGGTCGTGGAAGGCCTTGCACTGGGCGAAGAAGTCGAGCATGACGGGTCGGAAGGAGGAGACCGAGACGGATGCGGCCTCGGCCGGCCAGCGGTTGGGCATGTCGGGGACGTTGTCGCGGCCGATTTCGAAGGATTCTTTGAGATCCGGCGCGGCGTCGCGGACGGCGGCTACGGCGGCGGCGTCGGTGATCTGGGTCACTTTCTCGCGGCCCGGGGCCGAGTAACCCCGGTTGGCTTCCGGGGTGGTCCAGCCCAGGGCGAGCTTGGCGTCCATGGGCTGGGCGAAGAATTCGGCCGACGTGGCGAAGACGCGGGCGAGCGTGGCGGGCGTGATGGGGTGGTTCTTGAGGTAGATGAAGCCGGCCGTCTGGAAGCCGTGGAGGATCCGCTTGGCGGTTTCCAGACGGTCGGCAGCGTTGCCGTGGAGAAAGACATCAAAGTCGATGAGCTGGCGGGCATTGTGTTAACAGAAACCATTCCACTGGTCGAGGAGGATATGAGGTGAGGGTGAGTGATTGGGGTGCGTGACGGACGGGGATGAACAGGCCCTCCTTGCTGACGGCGGCGGCGGCCATGGCTACTACTCCGGTCTGGTCGTTGTAACGCGTGGAAAAGACTCGAGTGTGTTGAAACCTGGCAAGAGGCTATGGTCCCTAAGAGGACTTCTTCGACTCTTCGAAGCTCACGTTCGAGTTTATGTTCCTACAGATGCGAGCGACAAAGGACGATACCTCGATGCGATGTAAAGTGTAAGGTACGTTGTAAGGTGCAGACATGGGCAAGTCGACGGTTGTCGATGCGAAGGCGGTTGAGGCAGTACCTACCTTCGGTAGAAAGACATTGTCCAAACATAGCATCTCCGATGGGGGGTTTCTTTTACCTGAGGTTCCTGAATGAACATACCGTTGCACCAGGACCCTAATCAAATTCCTATCATGTTGCGGTGTCGAGAACTATCCTAGATGTACCCCGATGTACGGAGACACAACCCCCCACCTCGGGCATGCAGGACAGGTTACAGGACGGGTTACAGGACAGGTCACAGGACGGGTTACAGGACATGCTGATGATAAGCTTCAATGGCGATGGGAGAGATAAGGAAGAGGAGGGGATGAGGGGTAACGCGGGACGTTGGAGCATGTACGGCACGGTAGGTACCACTCGACGTGGAAGGCAACAATTGATCTGCCGGGTACTCCGTACTTCACCTACCCGGCTAGGCAGGTAGCAAGCTGTATCTGCTTCAGATGTACGGAGTACCTTAGGTAAGGTAAGGGGCCTTGATCGATTGTCTGCGTGTTGGATCACAGCGTACAACGCACGAGGGTACGTACTATCACGACGTAGGTACATCAACTCTGCCTTTTCTCCTCTCTTCCCTGCCTCACCCCCTTTTCGCCGACACTCACACCAGACCAGACCAGACCAGACCAGACCAGACCAGACTCAGAGCAACGGGAATCCCCTGCACACTTTTCAAGTCACCCACCATGGCATCGACAAAATCCCGCGTCGTGGACGTGCACACGCACATGTACCCCCCTTCTTACATCGACATCCTCCGATCCCGCTCCGAGATCCCCGTCGTCCGGTCTTTCCCCCAGGCCCCCGACCACCCACGCCTCGTCCTCCTCGCCGCCGAGCAACCCGCCCTCGACGCCGCCCTAGCCGACCCGACCGCCGCCGTCCAACCCCCGGGCCGACCCCTGACCCCCCATTACGCCGACCTGGCCCAGAAGCTGCACTTCATGGACACGCACGCCATCGACATCTCCGTCCTCAGCCTCGCCAACCCCTGGCTCGACTTCGTCGCCCCCGACGACGCCCCGGGTCTCGCAAGGCAAGTCAACGCCGAGTTCGACGCCATGTGCGCCTCCCGCCCGGGCCGCCTCTTCTTCTTCGCCGCCCTCCCCCTCACGGCCCCCGCCCCGGCCATCCTCGAGTCGGTCGCTCACGTGCGCGGCCTGCCCCACTGCCGCGGCGTCATCCTCGGCACCTCCGGCCTGGGCGAGGGGCTCGACGACCCGGCCCTGCTCCCCATCCTCCGCCGCCTCGCCGACGCCGACCTCCCCGTCTTCCTGCACCCGCACTACGGCCTGCCCAACGAGGTCTGGGGCCCCCGCGCCGCCGCCGAGTACGGCCACGTCCTCCCCCTCGCCCTGGGGTTCCCCGTCGAGACCACCGTCGCCGTGGCGCGGATGTACCTCGCCGGTGTCTTCGACGCCGTGCCCGCGCTGCGCATGCTGTTGGCCCACAGCGGGGGCACGCTCCCTTTCCTGGCGGGTCGGATCGAGAGCTGCATCGTCCACGACGGGCAGCTGCTCCGCGAGGGCCGGGCGGGGAAGGGGAAGGGGCGCAGGACCATCTGGGACGTTCTGAGGGAGCAGGTCTACTTGGATGCCGTCGTCTACTCCGAGGTCGGGCTCAAGGCGGCCATTGGGGCGGCGGGTGGTGCTGGGCGGCTCATGTTCGGGACCGACCACCCGTTTTTCCCTCCGCTGGAGTCGGACGAGCAGGGAGAGTGGGAGAGCGTCGGGCTCAATGCGCGGGCTGTGATGGATGCTGTCGGGGAGGACTCGGAGGAGGCGAGGGGGATCATGGGGGAGAATGCTGTCAGGATACTGCGTCTGGAGATGGACCAGCCGGCTACATTATGAGTTGGTGCGCCAGCTCTTCCTGGTCGAGTCCTCAGTAAGGTAAGGTACCTTGGTATATACAACGTAGAATGTATCGAAGGTCGAACAGGGATATGTCTGCATGACTGTTGATGTGTAAACACTAAGGTATGTGTAGAAGGAAGAATATCCCCTGCTCTAGCAGCTGTGGAGACTAGATACACACAGGTGCTGCCTGGTGGCTGGCACCGCCCAACAGAAAGTACCCCGGTATATGGCTCGTGCATTTGTGGCTGGTGAAATGTGGCTTGATCGGATGAAAAAGTACGTACCTCATATCAAACTCGACTCGAGGTCTTCACGTCCTCATCTTCATCCTTCATCTTCATCCATCTTCATCACATCCGAGTAAAACAAGTAGAAAGGCGGCATTGAGTCCCCATTTTATGGCCAACCTTCATTTTTCTTCTTAGATTCATTGCCGGAAAGACCAAAAACCTCATTGAATCTTCTTGTTCATTACAATTCAACTTCCTCCTCATCCACTTTGCGAAACATCTCACAAACTCATGAGCATTTACATTTACCCGACAACATGACAACACAAACCGTTCCTCGCCCAAGCGGCCAGAGCCATGGTCGTCTGGACAGGACCCTTGGAATTACTGAAAGGATTGCCCCCAAGATGAAGGCTTGGACAGGAGAGCTTCGAGTTAGGTTGTGTTTCCCGGAACATATCCCCCACGGAGTCGTCGGACCGAGACTAACAGTCAGAACAAACAGATATACTGATTTTCAGGTCAACGAGATCGCTACAGATGGCACCGTTCTACATCTCAAAGACACGAGGCTAGCCGATCAGCCTAACCCGCCATTGGATTCCTCACAGACCGGAGACTCGTATAGACCGTCTCTCCCCGAACCCAAGGATGCTGCCTCCTCTCAACCACCCGGCGACGTCAAACCCGAAGCCAAAGCCAATGGCCAGGCCGCCGACCAACAAAAGGAAGAGCCGCCCGAAGTGTCCCCAGAAGACATGCAGACTCTGGCCGATCTGACGAGCGAATCCTTCACCCAGGATGTCCTTGCTATCTATCGTGCTGCCGCCACCAAGCAGCCCATCCCCGTGCCGGCGAGGACAACCCCCATCGAAGACAAGGACCAGCGCGCCAAAATCCACCACAACGTCCGACGCATCTTCCGCTCTCTCGTAGACACCACCGCCGACACCTCCGCGACCACCCCGGGCGGCGCTGCCATTATCGTCGCCGCGGGACGGCCGCCGCGCCCTCCCAAGGCCCACAACCCGCAGCAGAATCGCTCCTCCTCCAGGAACAACAAGACCCGGCGCGGCAAGGGCGCCGGCAAGGTCAACGCCGAAGGGGAGGGCGATTACCTCCACTTCACCATCTACAAGGAGAACCGCGACACCATGGACACGGCCCGCCAGCTCGCCCGCTGCCTCTACCTGAAGCCCCAGATCTTCGTCTTCGCCGGGACCAAGGACCGCCGCGCCGCCACCACGCAGCGCTGCTCCGTCCGCGGCGTCAAGGCCGAGACCGTCGCGGGAGCTTACACGCGCCTCCACGGCGTCTGGACCGGCGACTACCGCTACGCCTCGACAGGACTACACCTCGGTGCCCTCCAGGGCAACGAATTCGTCATCACCCTGAAGAACTGCCGGCTCGTCCCTGACGACGACGAGGACGACGACGAGGACGACAAACTCACCCCCGCCGACCGTCAGGAGGCCATCCGCGCCTGCGCCACCTCCGCCCTCGCCTCCATGGCCTCCCGCGGCTGGATCCACTACTACGGCCACCAGCGCTTCGGCACCCACGCCATCGGCACCCACGAGGTCGGCCAACGCATCCTCAACTCCGACTACGAGTCCGCCGTCGCCGCCATCCTAGCCTACGACGACCACGCCGCCCAGCGCGCCTGCGACTGCGACAACGACAACGACAACGACGGCCGCGACCTCCCCGCCGAGGCCCACGTCCGCGACGAGCTCAACCGCGCCCGCGCCTGCCGCGCCTTCCAGCGCGACGGCGCCTCCGCCGAAGAGGCCCTCCGCTTCCTCCCGCGCCGCTTCGCCGCCGAGGCCGCCGTCATCCGCCACCTGGGCCGCCACACCCGCGGCGCCGCCCCCGGCGCGTCCCGCCGCGACTTCCAGGGCGCCCTGCTGTGCATCCCCCGCCCGCTGCGCAACATGTACCTCCACGCCTACCAGTCGCTCGTGTGGAACCACGCCGCCAGCCGTCGCTGGGCCGTCTACCGTGATACTGTGGTCGCGGGGGACCTGGTCCTCGACGACAGCAACACCGCAGCCGTGCAAGCCGACGAAATCACCTCCGAACCCGACGCCGACAACCCCACCACCACCACCGCCCGCGCCCTAACCGCCGAAGAAGCCGCATCAGGCCGCTACACCATCCACGACATCGTCCTCCCGTCCCCCGGCCACAACGTCATCTACCCGACCAACGACATCGGGGCCTTCTACGCCGCGTTCATGCGCCGCCCCGAGAACGGCGCGCTCGACCCGCACGACATGCGCCGCCGCCACCGCGAGTTTAGCTTGCCGGGCCACTACCGGCACTTGACCACGCGCTTCCTCCCCTCCGCGGCCGAGGAGGGTCAGACGCTGACGCCGACGCCGACGCTGCCTCGCGTCGAGGTGCGTCGGTACGCCGATGACGAGGAGCAGATGCATCCCACCGACTTGGACCGCGTGAGGGCCGCGAGGAAGGCGCAGGCCGAGGAAGCTGCCGTGGCGAGGAAGAGGAAGTGGCAGGACGAACGAGATCAATCTGACGGGAAGGAGGAGGGTGGCGAGAAGCCCGAGGACGTGGAGGCGGGGAGGCAGTCGAAGAAGGCCAAGGCGGGTGGGCATGGTGATGGGCATGATGATGGTGATGGTGATGGTGATGCCCATAACGGCGAGCCTACTCCCGCAGCGGATGCCATGCAGGTCGACCATGAGGGTGGCAGCACAAATAAGACGGGGGAATCGGCGTCGTCGGTGAGTACAAAACCGGCCCATGTCAAGCAAGTTCCGGGGGAGGAAAAGGCCAAGGACAAGGTGGCCGTGATCGTCCATTTCCGCCTCACAAAGAGTGCCTATGCCACCGTCGCGCTGCGGGAGCTGATGGGCTTCTCCGACCATGACGCCGCGGACACGAAGCCCGAGTTGACCAGCTCTACTGGGTAGTCATATTATGTATATACGAGGATCGATCGGATGCCCGTCCAGATCGTTTAGAACTCACGACCCGCCCCTCTCGTAGAGTTGAACACGTCTCATTTAACCTGTAGCACGCCGTTGTCCAGCCGGCCCACGAAACTCACCATCTGTTCAACCGCGGATCCAGTGCCTGTCCCGGCTGCCTCCTTTACATCCATCCAGGCGCTCCCCCAACATCTCTTCATCCTGTTATTTTGGCAGTTGTTTCAACATAAACCCATTTCAATCTCGCTCGCATCATCGGCGTCCATTCTCCAAATATGAACGACGAGTCTGTCCACTCAGGGGGTGGCCACCGGTGCCCACCGACAAAGAATAAAATGTATCGATGTATCAAGATATCTCTTGCAAAATGGGTTGGAAAGCTTTCCAAATGCTAGTTCGTTGTATATGAGTTCGTTCTTTTGGAATGACCATTTCGACAAAGGTGAAATCAAGTGGACGACTCTGCCTTTCGGAGGCATGTCTTGCGTTGTGGTATGGAGGTGTGAAAACAATGTAGACATGGGAAATTAAACTGATTTTTGTATGAGGTTCCGGTGGGAATTGGTGTCGTGAAATCGTTGTACCTTTATCGGGGTTTGTTTGCGGTGTAATTTTGTGATTGTGACAAAAATATGTGTTGGATTGTTCTAGTATGAATGTCGTGGCCTCGTCTACCTCCAAGCGATGCTGCAGTATGAGAGGAAGACACGGGTGAGCCGGGTGAGGTTACTCGGCGGGCTTCTTTGCCACTTCATCCCAGCCCCAGACTTGGGCAAGGTATTTGGCCATGTTGACACGCTTGGATCGCATTTCGACCATCCAGGGATGTTCGAGCATCCGCCAAGGGCTGGCACGGCGGTTGGGTTCTTTTTCGAGACTACATGGGAAGAGGGGGGGGGGGGGGGGGGGGGGGGGGGTGGTCGTCAGCCAAACGGTTTCCATAACGGAAGAAAAAGACAAGGCAGCGACTTACCAGCACTCGATGAAATACTTGAAATTGTCGCTCCAGAATATCTTGGCGTCGGGTTCATCCTTGAGCTTAGGAATGGGTTGCTGGACAATATAGGTCAAAAGATCAATGAGACCCGCACGAGGCTGCATCTCGGTGCCGTCGGCGGGGAACGGGAACCGGTGCTGGGCGACCTCGAGCAAGGTGACACCGGTAGACCAGACGTCGGAGGTGATGGTGTAGCTCTGGCCCGTGATGCGCTCGGGCGCCATGTAGTAACTGGTGCCGATGAAGGTGTTGGCCTCCCCCTTGGTCCCAAAGTCACCCGAGACGCCAAAGTCGCAGAGCTTGACGTCGCCGGTGCGGCAGAGCAGGATGTTGGAGGGCTTGATGTCGCGGTGGATGATGCGCATGCTGTGCAGGTAGGTCAGCCCGCTCAGCACGCCCTCGGAGACCTTGCCCAGGACCTTCTCGCCCGTGCGGCCGCCCAGCTTCTTGACCTCCTTGTAGATGCTGTCGAGGGATCCGCCTTCGCAGCACTCCATGGCGATGGAGATGGTGGCCGTGGCAGGGTCGACAAAGGCGCCGTAGTAGCGGCAGATGTGCTCCGAGGCGCATTCCTTGTTGAAATTGAGCTCGCGGACGATCTGCCTCTTGACGTCGGGGTCGGGCGTGGTGGTGATGACCTTGAGGGCGAAGACGGTGTTGCCGCCCTTCAGCTTGCACTTGGTCACGGCACCTCCGGCACCTTCGCCCAGGTTGCCCAGCTGGATGACCCTGTTTTCCATGCTGGCAATCCGCCAGCCCTCGTCGTCCAGGTCCTCCACGTCCAACGTCCTCGCGCGCTCCAGCGTCAGCTTATCAAAGGCCTCGAGACCCTGCAGGCTGTTGTCCCTCTCCATGCCGACACCGCCCTCGCTCCTTTCGGAATAGAGGGAACCGACGGCGGAGGCGGGGTCCGGCGTACCCTGCGGCCTCGGCGCTCCGATGCCATAATTTGAAGCGAAGGACAGGGCGGAGTATTGTGAGCCGGCCGACGTGGGGTTGCTGGCACGGCCGTCGAGGGGACCGAAGCTGCCCGACCTTGAGTGGGCGGCGCTGCTCTCGCTCCCCCCACTCGCCGACTGACCGGGTTGAGAACCGGTAATGAGTCTCGGGGGCTGTTCATAGGGCGTGACTTGACTGCCCTTGGGCGTGGCGAGGTGGAGGGTGGGCAGAGGAGGCCTCGAAGGAACGGCCTGGAGAGGCTGGACGACGGGCTTTGCATTGGGAGAAGGGGGGATGGCGAGACCGAGTCTTGGGGTCCGAGAGCCGCTGTTGGACCTAGCACCCCCAGGCATCGCAGGACGGAGGAGGGGCACTGGCGAGGCCATGGTCGGTACAGAAGCTGGTTGCGAATTTGTCGAGTTGGGAACCTGATGCGGCAAAAGTGCGGTTAGAAGCATGGAGCAGAGTAATGAGCGAGAAGTAAAGAGTAAAGAGAAGGAAAATTAAGGACAACTAGAAGTACACTTTGAACCGGTGAAAGGGGGGGGGGGGGGGGGGGGGGGGGGGGGGGGGGGGGGGGGGGGGGGGGGGGGTAAGGAAGAAGGGGGAAGAAACAATCGTACCTGTTGTGATGTTGGCTCCATGGTAGGCGCGAGAGTGACAAGAGAGTCGAGCAGTCAAGACCGATTAGAAATCTCCGAAGGGATTCGAGATCTGAAACAGCTGTCCAGAGGGAGCGTCTTTTTTGGCGCAGTCCGAGGCAGTTAGAGACAAAGAGCGGTAGATGAGGCACAGATAACAAGGTTGATCGATGATGCTTCAGGTCGAGCTTGACACGACGGTCGCTGGGTTGGGTAGTGAGTACGAAACGATGACAGCGAAACAAAGAGACTGGGGGCCAAATCAGTCAGGGCAGAGCAAACTGGCGAGTTTGCTAACCGAGTACAGCGCCGGCGAGGTTTTTTTTTAACTGCTTCCCTTTTCTCTGTCCCTTCTTTTCTTGCAGTCGATCGAGTCGGAAGGGTGAGGTGAGGGACGGCTTGGGCGTTTGTGTTGCGTAAAGTAGTGGAGTTGAAGAAGAAATGAAAGTCCCTTTGTCTCAGGGCTCTCGAGGCTTTCAGGGCTGCCAGGATTCCCAGGACTCCCAGCTTCCCAGACTCCCAGGGCTAGGCCGAGGAGGTGACCCGTCTTGGGCTCTCGGGTGGGGTTGGGAGCGGGACCTAGCGCCAGAGGAGGAAAAAGAGGGGGCGTTGAAGGTGAGGGTCCAGTGAGGGAAGTTGATGCGGACGATGCGATACGATGCAGTTAGTTGGCTTTGCCGTTGTAGCGCAACAACAGCAAGAGGGAGGTTTTCGTATGGAAGCTCGTTTGCCGGACTTGGTCTCAACTCGACTCGGATAGCTGACTGCGATGCACAAGAGTTGATATGGAAGAGTTCCGGGAGAATGGACCTGCAGCAAACGGAGAGATGGAAAGGAGGGGGGAGAAAGAGGGCGGCTGAACGAAGGTAATGTATTATGCACGGGTGCAGGTGATGGAGTCGGTTGGTTCGATTGATTGCGAGAAACGGCACAAATTATCCGAGCCGATGAGGTGGGAGGTGGGAGGTTCGGGGGCGGGATTTCTGTTACAGTAGCGGAGTAGCGGTTCGCCGATGATGGTTCTGACGCGTGGCCTGTTAAAAGAGGAGGCCGAAGAGAATGGAAAAGTGGTTTGGGAGTTTGCGATGAATAAAGCAAGAAAACGGAAGAGACAGTTGGTTTGATGTGTGTCTGTGGTTGTGGTGTGTGGTGCGTGTGCGTGGGGGGAAAGGTAGGTCGAGGTTGGTAGGTGAAGAGGAGAAGAAATGTGGAGGGAGGAGAGGGAGGAGAGGGGATCGCACGACTTGGACGCCTTTCTCTGGGGTCTTCGTAATGAGTCTGTAGCCGCGAAGCTGAAGCAAGAGCAGAGGAATCAGAGACAAGCAGGAAGCCACGACCTAGCTGTGTACATACTCCGTACTCGGTACTCGGTACACGTACTTAGATGGGTACGACGTCCTTAAATCAGGTACAAACGCTTATGCCCCTGACTACCTTACCCAGTACCAGAAACCGTTGGTACCGTTGGTACCGTTGGCGTCCGCTCTGTTACGAAACGTGGGCGGCCCCAAAGCATCCGACAGGAAATAGCGGGGATAGCCGGTAAAAAGAGTGGTCGTGGGTCGTGGGTCGTGGCAGGCACTTGACGCTCAACGGTGCGAAGTATTAAGTATTCACGGGCGACCGAGAATCTCAGTGGTCCGGACCCAATATTGGAGGGGGCACGGGTTCGAGCAGCCCTGCAGTACGTGTAGGTCCACGCCAATGTTCAGGAGGACGGAGTACGGACACGAATATATGTCGTCAGGGATCTGAGACCCACACTCGCCGTGGAGGGCGCTAAAAACGACCCGCTGGATGGAGGCTTGAGCGAGGGCGAGTTAAATAAGAGACAAATACCTTTTAGTGAAGCAAAGCTCCAAGGCGCTACTATGGGAGACGTGTCGTGTCGATGTACTCCGAATTCATAATACACTAAAGAAAAGGTATGAAGTCCTATTCGGATTCGTACGTCCCGGCTTACCACCCATTGAATATTTTGACATCCTAATAATCTCCTGTTATCCCGGCCACCCGAAAACTTGCAGCTCGCTACCGTTCGTCTTCCCAAAACTTCACGTCCATCTCATTTCAATATAAAGCGAATAGGACTGCCCTGGTCAACCACATTGCCCTCTGTACAGCCGTGCCAATACGACGTTGGCCGGGGGCAGTTCTCGGCCACGACGCAATAGGGTTGGTCCAAGAAAAAGCAAAACGAAAAGAGAAATAAAACAGTGTTGCAACTATTTCTACTTCCAGGCTGCCCTCCAAGGCTGTGGTGTCCTAGACGTGGTCGAATGGCGGCCCTTCATGCAGCGGGTTCTGGGTGCTGACTGAGGTTCGGGCTTGCCCGACTGCATGATCAACAAAGAAGATGTCATGTCAAGTCGTTTCGTCTGAGGTGAGAAAATGGATAATAGGATCGCCTCTCGTTAAATTCTATCCATTCAGGAAGCCTTGTCCACTCCTACCTTGCCGTGTCCCTTGAATGGAGCGAAGTACTCTGTACTTCATAGGACTTAGTGGACCAACCAGCCTAAGGTATTGGCAGTGCTCCAAAGCCGATCGATGTTCTTACGCACCATCCAAGGGGTTTTTTGTCTGCAGCTGGCGCTTCCAGGCTCGATTTCACCCTGACACCTTTCGAGCTTTGGGCGTTGCAATGGCTGCATTGTTATATCTTGCCGATCCCCACGATTCCCGTGGGTAGCCTATCATTTGCTTTGCCGGGATTTTGAAGCGTGGGAAATCGAAATCACGAAACAACACCCTGTTCATGTCTCCAAGCGCGCGCGTAAACTACCTAGGTAAAGTAAAGCATTCGAACCAGTAACTCCTAATCTTTCATTGGTGGACAGCCGGTGGCTTCGTCAGCCGTCCAGGAACCCATCGGCGGGGCCTGCTATCTTATCTGCTTATCGGCTTATCGCGACCGCTTGGACCCACTCGGCCCCTGCACCTGTTTTTTTTTTTTTTTTGGAGAGATCTGGAGTGGAAGGAAAACGCCAGAAAATTTCCAGTGGAAACTGTCGAAACAGACATACACCGTAATACTCCGTCGCATTCACACCCAGCGGGCCAATATACGCCTAGATATTCTCTTCTTTATCAGATTGATCTTTCAGCCTAGTTCTAATTTGGTCCGGCTCGCTCCATTGGTCTCCAAATGCCGGCTTCCGTAGATCGCAGCCGCCGCCGTGCCCAGTCGGTCGAGGAAGATGGTGCAACATCATCTTCTCAGAGCTCCGATCACGATTCTTCAGGAGCCGAGTCTGACTTCCTGGATAACCCTGGCTCTCGCAAGAGACGGCGAACATCGCCGCCCAGCGTTACCAATTTCCTAGACGACGATGAAGAAGACGAGGACGAGGAGGACGAGGACGAGGACGAGACGGAGGTTCGACCAACCTTGTCGACAATCCAGGTCCCTTCCCGTGTGAACAGGAAACAAGCTGCCCGACAAACTTCGGAACCACCCTCCTCCAAAACCCAGACTCAGAACGAGACGACCCAAGCCTCCCGCCCTACTCCCGTCACCGCACCCACCGATCCCAACACCAGCTTCGCCTCCCTGAACGTCCGGCCATGGCTCGTCCAATCCCTCGCCAACATGGCCATCAAGCGGCCCACCGGCATTCAGAAGGGCTGTATCCCCGAAATCTTGAAGGGCCGGGACTGCATCGGCGGCAGCCGTACCGGTTCCGGTAAAACAGTAGCCTTCGCCGTGCCCATTCTCCAGAAATGGTCCGAGGACCCGTCCGCCATCTTCGGCCTCGTCCTGACCCCGACCCGCGAGCTCGCCCTCCAGCTCTTCGAGCAGTTCAAGGCCATAGGATCTCCCCAAGGCATCAAGGTCATACTCATCACCGGCGGCACCGACATGCGGCCCCAGGCCATCGCCCTCGCCCAGCGTCCCCACGTCGTCATCGCCACCCCGGGTCGGCTGGCAGACCACGTTCGGACCTCGGGCGAGGACACCATCTGCGGCCTCCGCCGCGTTCGCTTCGTCGTCCTCGACGAGGCCGACCGCCTCCTCGACGCATGGGGGTCCGGCAGCATGCTCCCGGCCGTCGAGGAATGCCTCGCCGCCCTACCCCCGCCGCAGCAGCGCCAGACCCTCCTCTTCACCGCCACCATCACCCCCGAAGTCCGCGCCCTCAGGGACATGCCCCCCAAGCCGGGGAAACCCCCCGTCTTCGTCTGCGAGGTCGACACCCAGGCCCTCGCCATCCCGGCCACCCTCGCCCAGCACCACCTCCAGGTCCCCGTCACCCACCGCGAGCACTACCTCCACGCCCTGCTCCTGACCGCCCGCAACGCCGACCGCGCCGCCATCATCTTCTGCAACCGCGCCTCCACCGCCGAGTTCCTCCACCACCTCCTGCGCCTCCTCGACCACCGCGTCACCGCCCTGCACTCGCGCCTGCCCCAGCGCCAGCGCACCGACAACCTCGCCCGCTTCCGCGCCGCCGCCGCCCGCATCCTCGTCGCCACCGACGTCGCCTCCCGCGGCCTCGACATCCCCGAGGTCGCCCTCGTCATCAACTACGACGTGCCCCGCGACCCGGACGACTACATCCACCGCGTCGGCCGTACCGCGCGTGCCGGCCGCCCCGGCGAGGCCGTCACCTTTGTCGGCCAGCGCGACGTCGAGCTGGTGCTGGCCATCGAGCGCCGCGTCGGCCGCGAGATGGAGGCGTGGACCGAGGAGGGCGTCAACCTCGAGACCCGCGTCGTGCGGGACCTGCTGAAGGTCGTCACCGAGAAGAAGCGGGAGGCGTTGTTGGAGGTTGAGGAGGATAGGGAAGTTGGTGGGAAGCGGAAGAGGACGAAAGTGAAGCTCAGGGCCGTTTAGCCGTCATTGCATAATGAGTGAGGAGCGAGGAAGCGGCGGTAAGGGGTGGTTGTGGGACGCTACGTGAAAATATACGATATCACTCTTGGTAGAGCTGAAGTACCCCCTATGTATCAATGCCAGTCTTCGCCTCAACTGTACAAATGTGAACGGGCGTTTCATGTCTCATGTCTCATGTAGGCCGATCGGAGTATCGTGCTCGTTCCCTTTCGAAGCTTGGGAACCTTCTAGTTGCCCCTGAGATTTTGATACCTGACACCTCCCCCCAGGGCGGCACTCTGCTTCGAACACACTTCCAGCAAACTCGTTCATCAATTGACCTGTAGCTCGAGGCCCTCGAACAGCGAGTGTTCCAGCAAAAGCAGCTCATCTCTTTTTCTCTCCATCGTCAGCCGGACGATGTTACGCTGCAGCACTTATGTGGTGCTGGCGGTGACAAGAACATAAGTGCCGGCACCGTCGTTTAGCCTCTGACCAGGGCAAGGGCGTCGGCATAAGAGCAGCGTTCCAGCGTTTTTAAACGAAGTCAAGCCAGTTAAGTAGGTGGCTGGGTCTTGAACACGCGGGGTAAGGTAAGGTAAGACAGATGGATGAATGTATGGTATTGGGAGGCAGATACCACCCGAGACGGAAAGCAAACCTCGTCGGTATGAACGATACACAACTTGCCACGGGGCGGGGAGCCGTGTTGCACAAGCCCCGTAATGCCTCCGAGTCGCGTATATCCCCACGTTTTCGTGAACGGCACCACGCGGGGAAGACAGGGCCGGGTTGGTTACTTGGAGTCTCAAAATGCAGGTACGGCTCGGACCAAAGGAAATATAAACAGACGAGGTGGTAGAACGGGCCGAATCTTGACAGATAGTGGCGACGGTATATCAAGTTGGGAATGTGCTGGGTTTCTTCTTCCCTGCTCACGCGTGCATGCCACGATGCGGTCGCCACTAGGTTAGCTTGTTGATGTGGGGGATAGATGCAGATGTAAGTTCTGGATAACATATACCCAGAGCCATGCGGAAACCATGGCGGTGGCGATGGTCGTATAGCCCTAGCAGAAGTTGCACCGCAGCGTTGCAGTCGTACTCGCTCGCCAGCGGGACGCACAGCACTGTACTGTGCTCAGTATGAGTAACCCTCGTCTCGCCACATCAGCCACGCCGGCAGTGGTCAATGGTCGGGTTAGTCCATATAGCCAGGTTGGGTAAGTGGCTAAGGGGGGGGAGGATCAGAAAACGCCTCTTCGACTACGAAGGAAGTCTCGGCGTCTCCGGTGGGACGGATAGTATATATAGAGCGACCGACTTAGAAGAGAGACCACTGCCGCTTCTGGCGCCACACCAAATGCAACGCAGAAGGAAAGGCAGTGAAGACAAACACGAAACCTGAATCCGTGGAAGTCCCGAACGTCCAAACTCGGGCTGGGACCCGTAGGATTTCATCGAAACGCACCGGAAATAAAAAAAAAAGGTCCTGCCACAGGACTCAGCTCCAGTGACCTGACCCGAGCGTCTGGAACAGCCCTCAGCCCTGTCAACGAGCATGGGGACGGCTTATTTTTAGTTTAGAAGCTTCGGGGAGAAGAGTAAACAAAAAAAGAAAAAAGAAAAGAAGGATTCACACAAAACCATTGGTGCCCTGTCCCCGTGCTGACTCCAAACTGCCCGAGTAGGGAGTACGTAAAGCCACACCACACCACGCCACGCCACGCCAGCCTTACGGTGGATCGTGGGAGTGACATCGCTGCCAGGCCAAGGACGGGGGAGGGGTGTGATGTCGTTGTGGGCTTGCTGTGTGGAAAACGACTGAAAGGAAAGCGCAGTGTACCGGTCCGGCAAACCCCATATCGGCCAGCTGGAGGGAGGGATCAAGAAGAGGATCCTTGAAGTGAAGCACGAATAGAGGCCTGGAATATGTATGGGAGGAGAACGAGATCTTGGCTCCGTCGCTCAGGGCCGAACGGGCCGTTACGGAACACAGGTAATTGGGTGCTTCGAAGACGCCTGGTGCAGGGCAGGGGTACCGAGACTTCTGTGCGTGGTTGACCCAAGGAGTAGGTCGTAGCTCAGAGTGGCTCCGTCAGCTTGACGGAGCTTCTCCGATGCTGGCAGAGGTTGTTGTGTGTGCGATAAACAGATCAGATCAGAAGAGGAAGAGGGAGGAGGGAGGAGGGATGGTCAATGCTTTTCGATTCTGCTTCGAGTATGGCCGGACGCTATATCACGTGATAGTCCCACATAAACAACCTTCTTTTGTGGGGTAGAATCGACGCTAGAAGCTGTGGAGCGAACAAGGCGCAGGCGCCACGGGGGGAGGCCGCCAATCAGGAGAGCTTACACCCCCTGTCTCTTCCGCGAGACGATGGAAGTGCACGACGCCAAGGCGGCATTTTCACACGTCGCCATGCGACAGACAGGACGGAGTAAGAAGGCGACGAAAATAGCACTCCCCCACCACCACGAGGTTGCGTATCCTCTCGTCGACAGCAACAGCGTGGCAGCATGGATCATCTGTCGATCGTGGACCTTAGATCTGCACTAGTCGGACTAACGACCAAGGTTTCGCGTCGGGCTTCGGCGGCCCTTGTTGCTTTTGGGTCCTGTGGTTTGAGCGTCCCTGTAGGGCAAGCTGCTAAGCTTGTCTGTTTATCACTTTTGTTAGCCCCCGCTTCGTGGCGGAGAGAGAGGCTGGGAGGGGAGGGGTGTAGCTCTTCCCCCGTATTCCTGCTAAGCGAAACACAGAGATGGTGCTGTTTTCATCAGACCAAGCATAACAAGAGATCTCCAACTCCTTCGCCGGTTAAACATACTCGGATTTCAATGTTCGAATGATGTTATCCCGACCTACGTCCTAGGCACGGTTCATGTCAAGAAAGTCGGCAATGAGCGTTACTGCGCCGCAAGATCAGCCTTTTACATCCAGGGGTGTGGGTAGCACCAACCACACGATGTGCACTTTTGCATCCGAACTGCAGCTACACCCATTCCCCAAATTTGCCGAAAAAGGAAACGGGCTAGACGGCGGGGTAAATTTCGAAACAAACAGCAGGAGAATCGAAGTCGCGCCAAAAAAGATATTCTTCCAGTCTCGAACCTTGCGTAAAAGAGCTGTACCATAAATAAATAGAAAATCTCTGAGATGAATTTGAGTCTTGGAATCCCGGAAAGCTCCATGTCCTCGTTGAAAAGACTGGGATGCATGGATTTATGAAGCATCAAACAGCGCAGCTTTGACGACATGACCACTGACGGAGGAGCAACCGGAGTTGCGGGGTCGCCGGCCTCCGTGTGGGTCCGCACGCTGGGTTACCTAAGCGATCGGCAGCCAGGGTTCTCATATTGAGCAGCATGTTTTATTTTAGTAATACGCTGTTGGCATTCCGTGTTCCGGCTAATACACGTAAAATACATGCAAAAAATGCCCTTTCCCGGTTTATTATTCCGAGCATACCAGTCGGTCGCATCGATAATGCCGCGCATTGGAAAGAAAGAAAATCCGGGAAAATAGGGCACAGCTGTTCCCCCCTTTGCTTAAGTCCGGGGACCTTATCTTTGGCGTGGGGGAAATGGTGTGCAGCTTGAATGATATGCGTGTGGGGACAAGGGAGAAGCCGGGATTCGAAACGCTCAGCTGACAGTTACTAAGCTGTGTCTCGTCTCGCTCGTCTTCCGGTATTTTCCAAGATCCCACGATATTACCGCGATTCGATATCGGAGTATTGGGAAAATCCTGGTCTATTGCGTTTGGTGTGTCCTGTTGATCTCTTGCTACGTGAAGAACCGACATAAAGCGGGTGTAAAGGGCATCATGCGACGGAATTAGACAAGGCAAGGATCAATGAGGAAGGGGTGTATTTTGGTTTCGATGTGTCGCTTCCCTTGTCCAAACAATGTAATATTAAGACGTCGAGACGGACGGGCTTGGCGGAGAAGTTGGGCGCCGGTTGCTTGCACGAAGACGCCGGGTTGCTGCTATCAAAGTGGGCTTTACAAGACTCGAGGTGCGTTTGTGATGGACTGGACTAGGCAGTTCAAACGGCTCCTGAAAAGGACATGAAGGATAACCATTTGAGCAGAAGAGAACTGCCGATACGCGGACCCATCACCATCTACTGCGGGTACCCGAAATGATTACTCAGTACCCGTCTAATAGGCTACCCTCCCCACGAGAGAAGTGAAGTCGGGTGTGCATTCGTACGCGGGGTTTTGACTGTAACTCGAAACGAATTGCATTGACTTCACTGCTCCGACACCCCGATTTTTTTTGGGGGCAGTGCAGGCAGATAGATTCCATGGTGTTCCTCGTAAGTCAAGGGGACGAAGGATGCAACTTCGCCTGGTTGGCCAGCGTCGGGCGGATTCCGCGGCCAACTGCCGGCAAAGACCGTTGGAATATGAGAACTAGGAGACGAAGGACTTGACCATATATCTGTTGGTCGTCAGGATACGTCGTATCCGTGCGAACGGGGCTTATTATTATAATAAACAGGGCTAACAATGGTGACTCGACGGCATGTTGCACAGCAGACCAATGAAATGCGGCAGAAGAAGGAAGAAACTGTTGATTAGTTAATTTCCAACACAACAACGGTCAGATGTGTCAGGACGTTAGATTAGTGAGCAAGAAAAGAAATTGTTTCATTTTTCGCAATAGGCACGAAAACCAATGACAAGAGAAAAGGCATGGACAATTAAAGGGTCAAACGGAAATTTGCTTACCAAGTCCGTACCCAGGCATCTTACCTAAACCGAACAAGTATGAACTATGGCCGACTGACAGACTCGGAACCGAACGTGGACTTCAAATTTGCGGCCTACAAAGTCTCCGGGGTTCCGGTCTGCTTCGTAATCCAGATGAAGATGACGAATAGATCTCGTTTTAGTACAAAGGTCCAGTAGGCAGCAAGATTCCAGGTTCATAGCTGTTGAACCCCTGACAACGTCAAGAGACTTGTCCATGCTGGTCTTTTCAAAAATACTTTTTCGTTTCTTTTTTCCTATGATGACCGAAGCATAACGGGGAGGCTGACGTCGGAGGGCTTGTCGGATACTCGTTCTATTAAGAAATCTCGAAGTAATAATTACGTTGTCCGTTGTAGTGTACGGTGTTCTCGGAGGAAGGAACGGTACCTGGGCTGGTATTCTCCGCCTAAGTCCGACGCTGCGGATGGATGACAGATGAGGACGACCTGGAAGGTGCTCGACCTGGGGTGGGGATGTAATTAGGTAGCAGGGGCCGAGGTGTGTTTCTGGTAAGCAAGTTCGGCTCATGGATTTTCAATCACACCCCCACCCCCCGGCTCAATCTGGTTCAACAGATGAATCCTCCTGACCCTGTCCAGTGTCCACGCAGCCAGAGAACATGGGAGGGTGCGAAAGTAAAAAGGCGGAAGTGGGGGTGCTTTCTAAAAGCCCGCGGTCGGACTCGGACTGCGTGGCCCTGGCCTTGGCTGGACTCAACACTCACACCCCTCCTTCCTTCTGTGACCTTGGCTCCCATGAGTCCCATCCATCAGCGGGCTTTACACCGCTCCCGATCTCAATCCCCGGAGCTCTGGGAAAGATACTGCATCCACACACCCCCCCATCGAAGTGAGGTCCCCCCGAGGTCCGCAAAGCCAACTTAAAAGACTCTCGAGGCCCCCCTCTTCCCTCGTTCTCAGATTTATCATCTTCCGTCATACTCCATCTGAAGAAAAAAGAAGAGAAGGATATACGACAGGATACCAAACGATGCGAAAGACAGACCAGCAAGCTTCAAAAGGAGTACTTACATATACAAGCAAGCTTCGTGGAACGCCAGGGCCCTCACAACATATCCCGCCAATTCGCATCATCGCAGCCTAGACCGCATCCCTGTCACTTTACCGATTTCGGCTCGCTCGTCTGCCTTGAGTCACAACCGGGGAAAATTAGACAATCTTTTTATCTCGAAACACTTCGAATTACCAGGCACACAAACATATAAGAAACCCAAAATGGCCTCAGCAACATTTTATCGGCCATCGGCCCCCCCTAGCTACTCTCCATTCCCTGCCTCCACCACCACTGCGACTGCGACTGCGACTGCGACCACATCAACAAGCAAGCAGTCTGCCGCACATCTCCTCATCGCCGCCCAGAGGAGGAAGAGGGCCATGTCTATCACACAAACCTACTACCTCGCCCACAAGGCGCGGGCCAAGCTCGCCTACGAGGCAAGCCGCGCCGACCACGACCTGCGTCTGCTCGTCGGCCACGCCAACCTCCTCGACTCGCTCATGTTCGAGCTTGCCGACGCCGAGCGCGAGCAAGAGAGCTGGTTCAACCAATCGGTACGGGGCGCCATCCGTCACGAAGAGCCCCAGCCCGTCCCCGTCGCGTCTCCCGCCCTCGCTCCTACACCCGCCCCAACTCCCATCCCAACGCCGGTAGATAAGAAGGACCGGCACGTGCAATGGGCGGACGCCGCCCCGGAGCCACAGCAGCTCTGGCATACCGAGCACATCGACGTCGACTCGGACGACGACTCGGACCTCTACGATTCGGACTACGACAGCGACGACGACATGGAGATGGTCGAGACAGTCACCGTCGCCCGTCCCGTCGCTCTCCGGCCCGTAACCCCCACCACTACCCTCACCACTAGCCTCGCCACTAGCCTCACTACTACCCTCACTACTAAATCCGGCGCAACTCCTCCCACCACACAAAGCAGTTCCCGGCCCCTCCTCGCAGTGGAGGAGGACGAAGACGAAGACAAAGACGAAGACGAAGACATGGAAACAGACGACCTCGAAGACGACTACGCCCAACTCGAGCTCGTCCGTACCGTGTCACACCCGCACTCGCCGCCAGAACTCGACGCCGACCTGTCCGAATCGTCCGACGAGGACTCGTCGATGCCGCCGTCGCCGCCCAACGTGAGCTTCGCCTTCCCGGCGAAGGACGCCAAGGGAGAGATGCACCACGCCCGTTCAGAACAAGAGGAGCAAGACGAAGAAGACCGCAGCAGCCTCTACTCGGAAGGCTTCTACATCCCGAGGAGGAGGAATCCGCCCCTCGTGTCGGCCATTTCGGTCTATTAGAGGGTGGAAAGAACCTCAATTTTCTCTCTTCTTCTCTGCGACTCTTGCTTCACCTTTCTGAGCATCTCTATTATTTGGCTTCGAGCGATGGTGGCATGACGGCGGCGTTTTACACGGGGTTTCACCGGGAAAATTGGCAGCAATCTCATCGATTTGATGGAATGCAAAGCCAAATGCTATTATTCTTTTATTGGTTTGTCACCTTTGGTTGGCGTTTCATTCCAAGGGCTGGTGCTCAAGCAGCACCGCACAAAAAGGAGGGACGTGGATCGTCTTGGGGTCTGTTTCTTCTCATTTCACACCTTTGCATTTTCTCTTCTCTCGGCTTATCCTCGCTCCCCTAAAGGGGTTGAGCGGGAAGCCATGATGTATTTATTGATTAGCGCGATATGCTTTCTCTGGGACGGGCGATACCACCACTTCTTCTTACTACAACTGGGAAATCTAGCGCACGGCTTTCCTCACTTTCAATTGAAGTATACCAATACCGTCATGTGTCGCAAGTTCGGCTCCTCTCTCGTGTCCGTCCCTGGTTGTGATGACTCCCACGGTCAATTCGGTTAGCGAGTTCGGTTTCACCTCGACCGGAACAAGGAAAGAAACTCGCGGCTTTTGGTCGGTTAACGAGTCATTGGGTCGCTTTATGGCACTTCCGCTGTGCTAAATGGTAGGGCGGAGGGTCGCGGGGCCGAAGACCGACCATGGCTGTTTTTTCGGGCTTTGGGGTCGCGTGGGAAATCGGACCCTTTCGGTATGACTCCCATCTCCATCTCCGTGTCACCACGACCAAGCAGACCCTTAAAGGTACGGTACGTACTGTACCTACTCACTCACTCCGTGCTCCATCTGATATTATCTCCTTCTAGCATCATCTCCCATCTTTTCTGATCATCATCGATTTCAGCAGGGTCTATTTGGCGTCTAGCAGGTAGGTATCGACTCCTAACACCGCCATTCTCTGCCTTTTTGCTCGTTGCCTGGTTATTTGCGCATTTGTATTGCAGAGCAGATACATGTACACACACGGACTCGGTACGTTTCGTTCAACGTTCCCGCCTCGGCTACCGCTAGGGGGCGGGTGATTGTTAACCACACCCCCCTTCCTGTGGCTCTTTTCTCTGCGCTCCGTCTCATGATCGGACTTTGCGGTTCGTCCGGTCGGATACAAATCGCAACATTTCGGCTGCCGCTCTTTTGTATCCGACCGGACGAACAAAGTCCGATCATGAGTCGGAGCGCAGAGGACTCCAAATCAGAACCCAATCACTTGTATGACGAGTCCGCTGTTAGTACTATCTGTTTTCATACGTACGTCGTCCCGAGTCCGACGCCTCCCTTAAGAACCGACGCCCAAGTTACCTTATGAATGAATACCCGTGATGTATTCCGTACTCGCGCCCGATGGCCCAATCCCGCGGTACCTTATCTAGGTAGGTACCCAGACTAAAGGCGATTTACCAGTTGCCGTTTTTCTCTCCGTGTGATGATGCTGGTTCTCTCGGCCACAATCGCGGGTGCCTGGTACTTTGTCACTTTTTCATTCCTTTTTTGGTCTCTCCGCCTGAACACATGTCACAAACACGAACCCACCTCCCATTTCGACCTTGTTCTGTCACTCGGTAGCCTAGACCTGGTGTAATCATCCTACCATCCAAAATTCCAAACCACACGCCGTTCTCGACCCCATCGTCGTCCTGGTTGCCTTCTGCGTCGCGGCATTCATTGCGCCACTGCCTCATTGCGTCACGAACTAACTACTCCGTACCATTACGTGGCTGCCTGTGCTTATGCACTGGAAATGATTTTTTTCTTCTCCTTCATGCGCGTAAGAGAGCCGGGGGGGAGAGGGAGAGAGGGTTGACAAGCGGAGGTTTGACAACTTACAAGAGTTTCGGGTCAGAATTCAGTGCTATCAGAGACAAGAACGGCACTGAATTACGCGCGATGCGCTGCGAGTACGGATGCGACTCGGAATGTGCTGAGCGACGGCCGGCCGCGTACCTTGTCTATTTGAGACCGCATGCGATGTCCCTTGTTGGACTGGGTCGGTCATCCGTCGTCGCGCTGGCGGAACAATCGAATCACGGGTTCTGGATCATGCGTGTGTGGGCGCCCTTCTTGTCTTGTCGCCCGACTTTAAATCGGCTTGGCGTGGCCCCAACGCTGCCCCGACCAAAAACGAGCGATACGGCAAAATGCGTATTCGTATCTGATTGACAGTCGATGTATACGATGTAAAACGACTGGTACGACACCCGTAGTCTTGTTTTTCTCGATATTCTCATCCGATCTGAGGCAAGACAAAAATAAAGTCGCCAAGTACAGAGTTAATAAGATATAGAATGTCAGAAAGCCATTCGTCGGCGCAATAATTCTCCAAGGTCCCTTCGGTCAGTTGGATCACGGTAAATGCCGTGAGATTGTGCTAAGTGCTAAATTCAGCAGCAAGCGCGGCCTTGTAAATATAGAGCTAGTTCCTTCTCTACAACGTACAGTATACCAGATCGACGCAACACCCGGGTGCGATATCACGGAGCTTCCCAGTCCCGAAACTTCCATTTGCAGCGCCCTAGCCATGGTACAATAAATCTGTTTTGTAATTCTGCACCCTGTACTTCCTGCGATGGGTGCAGTATGAATGTGTATGTACTGTGGACCCCCATGTTTTCGACGGGCATACTTAGACAACAATAATGAGAAACAAAAATAGAGGAAAAAGTCAAAAAGAAACGACAAGGGTGAGATTCGAACTCACGCTCCCGAAGGAAATAGCTTAGCAGGCTATCGCGTTAACCACTCCGCCACCTTGCCGCCCAGTTGTTCATTGTGCCATGCAGCCACATTATATACCTCGGTTCCTATATTACACACCCGTCCCATCCTATTTTCACTTTAGACTTGAACTCAAGCAGCCAGCCATCCAACCCACCTTGATGGCATTCTAGCCCACAGTAACCAAGCATCAAATCAACGCGATCGAGTTGTGTTATATACCTACCTTGTGTGAATAACACTGCACACGAACAGCGATGACCAGGGCAGCTCTTACGGAGAACGTAGGCCACGGAATCCACGGAGTCCTGGTTGCCTTCACTTGCCTGATGGGCAGACTGAAGGCTGAACTTTCCCCGGCAGCCCTGAGCTTCGCGAGGGGAGTAGATACCTTATGTTCGTTGTTGGTACAGCGGTGCTCATGCCGTTTAACAAGCAAATTACAGTGTTCGGGACCGTCCCGGAAAGAAAGTTGACGGGTTAGAACTTAGCGGCTTCAACATTCACATAGATAGATGCATGGCTTACTGAGAAATCCGGTCTCGGTGGTCATATCGTTTGCTTTGCCAAAAGACAGAGAGATTCGCAGCCTACATTCCTTGAGCCTTGCATGAGCATCACGCGTATTCCGTAACATCTCTTCCGGCCGAAACATGACAGGTTCCTTTCCCACCGAGAGCAGTTCCAGCGTGGAGGATCGGGTGCGACCGACCCCCGAGCAGTTCCGCGAGACCTACGATGCCGCCTTCCGAGTGTGGGCGAACCTCCACCTCGATGCGATCGAGAACCCTGCCTTGCCCGCGTCATGTCTTGTGCCCGGGGACGCATTTGGTCAGCACCCTTATTTCCCCCCTAACCTACGAGTGCAGCATTTGGGCGCAACCCGACATGACGACGGGCCTCCTCCTATCTATGCGACTGGCTTCTCCATCTGGGGCTCGCCGCCTTGCAAGGGTGACGTTCCCTTCCCACTCTTTCCGCAGCCGCTAGAGATCGAACTGGCCACAGCTGAGCCTGTCATCCTATCCATCGTCAGACCGGAACAAGCGAGTTTCAACAACTGCCAATGGTTTGTCCGGGCGGACACGAACTATATCCCCATCCTTGTTTTGGCCTGGGCCTATATTCTGTCTGCTCGCTGGGCCGAGTTATTACCGGAAGCCTGCTGCCCCCTAACCTACACCGACAGTCAGGCAGAGCACCAAGATGACCCGTCACAGCAGTCGCGGGGCCGGCGCGGCAGCTACGTCGACGTCGACATTGGAAGTGCAAGTCTTGAAGAGACTCGATGGTGGGCGGCCGTGCTGGCGCCAGGACAAGGCTGGCAGTCTCGTGTGTCCGGCTCGTATCTTGTATCTCCTTGGTCCCTCATCCTGCAGCCGCATCCGTGGTTCGTCGTACGGAGGGCGAATTCGTCCTCTCCGCCCTCTCCGCCCTCTTCTCGCCCCCCAGCCGTGTCGTCGTCGACCGCTATACGGTTTCTTGACCGGTTCTGCCTGCGGCACAATGTCATAGACCAGAGCCACGCTGCCTTGGCCACTGTCCTTCTCTTTCCACGCCTCGACAAAGAGGGAATATGGAAACTTTCCTATCCCAAAATCGGCGCCGAGACACAGCCGGCCGAAGTGGCTTCCCATGAACAAGGCCCTGCTCCTGAACGCCAGTTACGGCATGACTGGATTCACCAGGAACACCGTCTCGACCAACTTCTCACCTTGAGCTGCCACCAAAGGGGTATACGCCCAATGCTGCTCAGTGTATTTTATGACCCACAAGTCGATTGCAACCTGGTGAGCGCGTGGCTACAGGGAACAATGGCAGCTATCGAAGCAGCGGCTCATGGTGGGCCGAATGTCCTTGGACGTATGTTTATGGGGCGCGGCCCATCCGTCGCATTCCTCTGGGTTGGCGCGACCATCCTAGGGTTACAGAAGGGCCTTTTGACGCAAGTTCGACGCGGGGAGATACCAGCAGATCTCCACTCCGCTGTGTGGTCGGGCACCGTACAATCATTCCTCCAACCACCAGTGTCCAACCCCCTTTCGGTGGACGGATGCATCTTACGTGCAGATGAGTGTCGGCTCCTCTTCCTTTCTCAGTCTCGTGGTCTACCCCGTGGGGTTCCTTCCTGCCAGTGGAGACCTTTCGGAGCAACACCCGTGGAAGATGTGGACTTGGAAGTCCGGGCCCATGAAGAATGCGAGAATCACTGGCTTCAGTACCGAGGTTTCGCTTGGGACTGCATTGACGGCGAGTGCCAGCTACAAACTCCCGAACCCGAGCCAGGGCCCCGCCCCCCGCCTCTGGATCTCCCACCTGCCGAACACCTTAATAGCGGACGGCAGATTACTATTCTTTACGACCACCTAGACACAAGGACAGAAGCTGCCTCGGTAAAAGCTACGCGCAGTGTTTTTTGCTGGCTGCGCCTCCATGGGCAGACTCGGCATGAAAGGGATATCTGGGACCATGACTGGTTCCATGTACCCGATTGCGATGAATATGGAAACTGCAGGGCGGAAGACGAAGGCGGAAGTCCTTCCGTATCAGACCGACCTATCTCACCCATTAAGAACCGGATGTCTGGACTAGATGCGGCGTCCGCGGCGGATATCTCACCCGTCAGGAACTGGCTGGCTGAACTAGATACCGCGGGGGGCTTGGAGGAGGAGGAAGGGAAGGAGGAGGAAGGGAAGGAGGAGGAAGGGAAGGAGAAGGGGAAGGAGAAGGAGGAGGAGGAGGAGAAATGATATGAAGGCTAATGCCACGATACAATAGGTTTACAATAGCGTTCCAACTCACATCATGAGTAGTACGTCTGAACCCAGTGAAGCGCGTCAGTTTTGGATCGTAGCAGATGACCTGCTCGTAGCCGAGATGCTCCTGAACTTGGTCAACCGTGAATACCTAAATGGTTTCGCACAATATTACTGTCCGTTAACTCTCCATCGTCCCCCTGCGCCTTTACGAAGGAAGGGTCATCTTCATCGATGAACTGACCGGATCCCTCAGTGTTTCGTGCAGATCCGCCCTCCACGCCACTCCGAGCAAGACTAGGAAATGCCAGCATTGAATTGGGTCCTGTAGAGCGAGCTAATACGTTTACATGGCCATAGAACTGACCATAAATGAGGCTCGGACTTCAGTTCCCCGACCTATTTGGTAGAAGTGAAAAGCGCCTACAACGAACGTACCGAGTCCGTTGTACACGTACTTCGTAGGGAGTCTTCAGGTTAGGGGTGGGGGTCGAGTGGACCCAAAGTCACGTCACGTGTGTGACGTATCTTGAAGCTTCGGTGAACATGCCGAGGTGAGTCGACTTCTTACCAATTATCCCCAACCTCCATTTCACTGCCCTAACAACTGCATCTCCCGGCAATTCTACCTTCTACGCCGTGACCAGCTCGACCCAAACCGCAAACCCGAGCTGCGAGAAAAACGAAGAGCCGTCACACGACTATGCGGAGCTCAGCACGAACCACGACGACCGCCCTGGCGCGTCACTTGAACGCCGTCTTCCCGACGTCTTCCTTTCCAGCCTGCACCCGGTGTCGTGCTCCTAAACCACACACTCCACGGCTCTTCTCCCTCACTGCCTCAAGCCGCTCACCTTCCAACTTCGTAAGCCCTCCCCCACCACCGTCATCAGGCTATGCGGCCCTCCCTTCCCGCCGCCTCATCTCCATCGCTGGCCCCGATGCACCCAAGTTTCTCCAGGGTGTCATAACCGCCAGCATCACCGGACCGGAAGCCGAACCTCGGAAGTCCGGCTTCTACACGGCTTTCCTCACCGCCCAAGGCCGCATCCTCTTCGACGTCTTCATCTACCCAGACACCCTGGGCATCTTCCACGCCAACAACCCCTCCGACCCATCCGCCGAGCCAGGCACCGCCTTCCTCATCGAAGTCGACGCCGCCCAAGCCTCAAGCCTAACCCGGCACATCCGCCGCTACAAGCTCCGCGCGCGCCTAAACGCCCGCCTCCTCGACGACGCCGAAGCCACGGTCTGGCACGCCTGGAACGACCCCGCCGGCGGCGCGGCCCTCCCGCCGCTCGACGCCCTGGCCGCCTCGGCGCCCGCCGACTCGGCCCTCGCGCTCGACACGCGCGCGCCCGGCATGGGCGTCCGGTTCGTGCACCGCGGCGTCGAGGCCCCGCCGCTGCTCGACCTCGACGAGTCCACCGAGGCCGCCTACACGGTGCGCCGCTACCTCTTCGGCGTGCCCGAGGGCCAGCACGAGCTGGTGCGCGAGCAGGCCCTGCCGCAGGAGAGCAACGTCGACGTCATGGGCGGCGTCGACTACCGCAAGGGGTGCTACGTCGGGCAGGAGCTGACCATACGGACCAAGCACCGCGGCGTCGTGCGGAAGCGCGTCCTGCCCTGCGTGCTGTATGGTTCCGAGGACCCTGTGCCGCCGACGGAGCTCGCGTACCGGTCGGAAGGTGCGGGCGCGGCGTCCGTCCGGGCCGAGGACGTCCCCGGGGAGGCGAAGATCGAGTCGGTGGATAAGAGGGCGCGGAACCCGGGCAAGTGGCTTCGCGGGGTCGGGAATATCGGGCTGGCGCTGTGTCGACTGGAGACCATGACGGACGTGGCGGGGCCTCTGCCCACGTCTTCGTACAAGTCCACGGACGAGTTCAAGATCGAGTGGGAGGCTGGGGAGGATGAAGCGGGCGAGAAGACGGACGGTGGGAGCGTCATGGTGAAGGCCTTTGTGCCGAATTGGTTACGAGCGGCGCTGGATGCCCAGGCGGCCCAGGCCCAGGGCAAGTCGCAGTCGCAGCCGCAGACCGAGGCTACAGAGTGAAGGTCGTACGCATGGCTTGATTGCAGCCGTATAAACTTTCATGTGTACAACTCGTGATCAGCTGTATATTATCATGTTGGAATTGATCTAGCGTGGAAATGAGAAAAAGGGTATCGCGAACTCTATACTAAATGAAGTTTCCATGCTTGCTCCCCATGCCAAATCATCTTGATGCGTTCCGTATTCGAGGCATGCAAGTCGCATGTCGTAAAATGGCCGCCCCCAAAGCCCCCTTTTGCTACCCGTCTTTCATTTCCACCTCTGTAGGTTGTGTCTGGGTTGATCGCGGGGGTGCCTCGCCCTGGGTTGGCGCCTGTTCTTGTTGCCCCTGTGCCTGTGCTTGTGCCTGTTGCTTCGCCAACTTCTCAGCATCTCGTCTCCTCTGCACAGCAATCATCCGAGCCTTCAGATCCTCCCATCTCGGGGGACCAGCCGGCGCCGAAGCGGGAGCCGTGGTAGGCTGCTGCTGCTGCTGCTGCTGCTGCTTAGCCTCGTCTTCCCCGCTCCCGCGTTTCGACTCCTCACTCTCCCCAACGCCATTTTTATAGTACCCCGCCTTCCCCGCCCTCCTCCTCGCCTTCTTCTCCGCCTTCCGCCTCCTAACCTCGTCAAGCAGAGCCTGCAGTTCCCTCAACCGATCGTCGTCCTCGTCCTTGTCCTCCTCCCGCGCCTGCTCCCGGGCCATGCGCTCCAGCTGCTCGCGCTTAAACCGCTCCGCCTCCTCAACCATACGCCGGCGACCTTCCTCGGCAAGCCGCGCCTTCTCGCGCTCCAGCTGCGCGGCGCGTTCTCGTTCCTCGGCGCGCCGCCGCTTGGCCTCGTTCTCCGCCGCCTCGAGCTCGTCGATGAGCCGCTTGCGGTGGCCCTCTACCTTGGAGCGCTCCTGGGCCCGGAGGCGCTGGGCGCGCCGCGCCGCGTCGTAGGCCCCGCGGGCCGAGGTGTCGAGGAGCACGTCGCGCGCCGTCTCGAGGAGGTCCCATTTGTCCGGGTCGAAGGCCGTGCCCGCTTTGTCGGGGTGGTGTTTTAGGGAGGCTTTGCGCCATGCGCGGTGGACGGCCTTGGCGTCTAGGGAGGCGGTTGCGTCGTCATTTTCGTCGAGGCCGACGAGGGCGTAGAGGTCGATGTTACGGGAGGCGAGGTCGCTCGCTTTGGTGAGGAGTTCTTTCGCCTCCATTGGAAGGTGAGTATCGGGCGGGATGTCCACTTGAATGGAAGGGTAGGAGAGGATATCAAGACGAAGTGCTTCGGCGACGGTTTGCTGAAAGGTTTTCAAGTGGAGCCGGCTCGTTGGTTATGGCAGAGGTGATGTGGGATTGGAAGTCCGAACGTACTCTGTAGAATCAACACTGAAGCTTGAAGTTGTTGGGTGCTGGAAACGAGTTTGCTGATTAGATAAGCAAGTAAGGTACGTACTGAGCAAGGTAGTCCACCATGTTAGACGGCCAGGGCATCAAGAAATGACAACAAAGAATCCCAGTCATGATATTTTCATGTTTTTGGAATCTTTATTTAGAGTTCGAGTCCGTGGCTTCCCCGCTTTAAAAATTAAAATACATATTCGTCTTGCCATGGGTGAAGGCGTGGTGCGGGATCATAAGAACGAGCGAGACAGGCGCGCAGCGTTATTCTTCCAACGATGTCAGTTACCCAAGCTCATCGGAATTACATGTCAGGGGTGATTGAGAACGTCGATTGCGGCTCTGTCTGACACTCGCTTCAAGTTCAACTTGCTGAAAGACGTCTAGTCAGGAGTTGCAAGTGAGGGAGTGGCCCAACTAGACGTCCCGTCCCCATGTTCTTTGAAAGTTGTTTTTGACGGGCGGGAGGGTTACCGTGACTGCAGCATTGCTACTAGGCCAGTCGTAATATCAAGGGAAGACGCTGGCCATAGTTGTAGGAACGGGGCCAAGCAGTCTGATATCCGAATCATGTCGAGTATTCAATGGCCGGCTTGCGAGCGTCCTGAGAATGAACGTTGAGAAACAGTTTTGCCCTGGAGGTAGCTATATCGACGATATTTGCGTTACGGGGCATAAGAAAGGCGTAAGAAAGGAGAACCCGAAAAGAAAAGAATACAGCTAAGAGGCTGGAAATAAAAAGGAGAGAAGCTTTTGATCATATGGGAAACTATACAAACAAAAAGAATACACCTAACAGATCAATGAAACCTGCGGCAGGAGCAAGCACATGCTTTTCAGGCAAAGCCGACGAGACGAAATCATTGGAACATTGCAAGCGGCATTCAATTAACGGATGCGACGCCCATCCGAGACGAACACGCCAACTAGGGAATCAGGGTGTCTGTTGATGTACAATGCCTAGTCCACGACTGGCTTCTATACGCCTCTCCTCTATTTCAGGACAGCCTGGAGGCTCTCAAGGACCTGGACGACGTCAGTTGGCTATCTCATAACAACGGGAGCGGGGCCTCGACAAGCCTCCCGCAGGTTGCACGGAGCATAAACATACCTCCAGCTCAATCTTGGCCTCGGCAACATCCTGCTCGCTGGCGTTGCCGCTCACCACCTTCTGGGCCTCGGCGATCTGCGCCCGGACGGCCTCAGCACTGAAATCCTCCAGGGGGTAGCCCTCGACGGCGTTGATGCTCAACACCGAGTTCGGCTGGACGACGGCGAATCCACCGGACACTAAGCCATTGACACTTTGTTAGCCATCTATTTCGCCCCGCACAATCTTGAAGCTCAAGTCCCGCCCGGCATGGCGAATGGCTGCCATTGGGGAAATGACGAAAGTAGAGTATGATGGCGGTGCGCGACATACGGAAGAACTGCTTGCTGGGCCCGCTCTCTTCCACAACCTCGACAAGACCGGGCTTCAGCTGCTCAATTGAAGGAACGTGGTTGGCGAGGATGCCCATCTCGCCCGACTCGGCGGGGAGGTTGACCTGGACGACGTCCTGGGACTTGTAGATAGACTGCAGACGAAATTGCGGCAATTAGCTTGATTCGCTCTCCGACCGGCCTGTCCTTGTTCGTAGCCAATGGGGCGTCGGCGGCGACGATATCAATCGCACGGGGGACAGGATGTGGAAATTCGCGTTCGTACCTGGTGGGGGAGCGACAGGCTCAGCTTGATCTTTAGGAGAGGTTAGCAAATGGCCGATATCAGACGAGTCGGGGGGAGGGCTGGACTTGAGCTTGCCTTGTCGGGGACAGCATCCGCGTAGGTGCGGCGCTGAAGAGGGGCCCTAATGGCAGCAGGGCGTGCTCGGAGAGCCGCGCGCGCGAAGCGGAGGGAGTTCATGATGGGCTGGCGGGAGGGGGGGAATTGACGTCTGTTGCTGAAGGAAACCTTCCGGTGAAGTCGGGACAGGAATCTTTCGGTTGATGGGGTTCGCGATTCGGTTAGCGGGAGGATTTTCAGTCACGAGTAGTATCACGTGGTTTTGTTGACTTCAATAAGCAGATAAGCTTGTGTTCGGCTAATTTATCGGTTTGACTAGTATATGCCGTTATATATTCAAGTAACGCATTTAATGGTATATTGAAGCAAGCTTGTTGTGGGCTGGGCATCCAAACATTTGCAGGTGGAAAGGGGATTTCTCCGGAAGTGGGTGTGAAGATGCAACAGAATCGGGTAGGTAAGGTATCAATCATTCCTGTCTTCGCGACTTGCCATACCGTGTTCACCCCAAAACTAGAATCAGATGGGGCAAAAAAACCTGCTCGGACAATGAGAACGGACGAGAGATGTCGATTCCTCCAAGAAAATCAGCTTGTGTGACGCAATTCTGGTGTGCAACTGGCCAGGCGTCTTACTTTCAACATCGAGGTCCTTCATCACAGGTTCTTCCGACCGGGCCAAACTTGTGCAATCAGTTCGAGCTGTCTCACAGTCCATCAATCGTCTTGCCCTCACAACTCACGAGACAGCTCTATCCTGCCAAACAAGGCAGCTAGCTGATCCCTGACAATCCCATGATTGCCCGATAGGCGACACACATATCTAACCAGCAGCATTTTCGCAGTGCTCTGTTCGCGCCCATTCCCACTCTCCGGAATCGCGTCCGGGCAAAGCCGTCCTGTGAGCACCGCCGTTGGGTATCACAGCCTGCCGAGATTCGGTATGCTAGTACGCTTTTGGGAGGATGCATTTGGTTGCTGCCAAAGTGGCGTGACAAAACCCCGCGCTCTCAGCGTTTGGCTTGGCTACCTCCTGACCATTTTCATTCCTTCTTGGCTCTACAAAGTGTAGTATTGGATGTCACCGCCCTCCGTTTTCCTGCGTTTTTCTGCGTTTTCCTGGGGTTGTTATGAAGCCTGTGGGACGCAGACGTGGGGGTTCGTGCCGTCGTCGTGCTTGTACGCATGACCCTAATAACTTGTGTCCCAGTCCATGTGGCACCTCCTTCAACCTTCGAATGCGAATACATGGACGGGAAGCAAGGTCACAAGTAATACGGATGGATACTCTTTATCACTCTGCACTCACGTACCGACATGGGGATGAGGAAGTTTCTTGAGATTGGAAAACCGACAACAGGCTAGGAAACGCAGATGAGTCGCTGCGAAATATCCGTTTCCCCCAACTTTCAATCCTATAACGGTCCTCAGTCTGGGACCCTTGAGGCTTCGAGGCTTCTGATGTGACCACCACCGAGACGTCCCCCAGGGACGACGAAGTTCATGGTATCTAAACGCTGACAGTTTCACGCACTGTTCACCGTATTGAGGCTTTTGGGCTTTGTCGGTTACAGTGTAGTCCTCCTGCAAGGAGGCGTCTAGCGTGCTTTTATTAGCACGAAGCAAGACGTGCGCGGCGAGGGGTAGCTCACTGTTCCATTCCCCTTCAGGTCTGTTGCGACAAGGCCAAGCGCGCGAACTACAGTCCTTCTCGTTGTACGAATGATTGTGTTTTATTTTACTTCATTTGTTTGGTGCCGCTGAAACCGGCCCTCTACCTAATCCCCGGCGGAAAGGGCAGCGCCGTTCGTGGTTACATGGTTTCGCCTAGGTAGGGAGTTTCTTGTCCCCCCGAGCAATGCGGGGGGTCTGGCACTGCAAGTGAAAGATGCTGGAATGCTCTGGTCGCGGAAATGCGATGCCGAAGGCGGGGTCACAGAAGTCCATGCACGTAGATTCGTAGCGTGGGGTCAATCGCCGTAACTTGTGCGATCAACTGGCTTGCTTCGGCTTCCACGCCGATTCCTTGTATGTATGGAGAAACCTGGGGAAGGAAAGAAAGGTGTCGAGCTGTAACGGTAAGTAATCTTCGGACTTACAGGACAAAAGAGAAAGAAAAATAGAAAGAAAAGAAACGCTCCTGTTGTCGTCGTCGTTATGGCTTGTTTGTTGGCTGCGTATCCTCCAAGACCAAATAGACTCTTCAGACATACGATCTGTGAGGCTCGAAACTCGTGAGAGTGTGGTAATCATGAGTGTCAAGAAGCTGCATCACGGCTCCGAGCCAGCTCAAGGCAAATCGGAAGTGAACTGTCTCAACATGTCCAACTTCGTTCGAAGTAGTACCTGCATCAAGGGGCCAGTTCGTCTTCACTGGCAGAGCACACATGGCGGTGTCCAACTTGAGGATAGTTGTCTCTCGTCCTATCTCTTGGCCCCCCCCAGGAGCCATGTCAGCGGACCAAAACGAATGCAGCCACCGAAATGCGAATCGCCGGGGTATGACAGATAACGTCATGAAGGGATCTCTGTCTGGGCTTCGTTCCGTTCTCATAGCTGAGGCGCACGAAGGAATTACCTACGATGACACGAAATGTTGTCCACGTCGTCCCTGTAACACTGTTTCACGCAATACCCCTAAATCGATACTACGAAGTAGTTACTAGGCACATTCTTGAGGGGATGGGAAACACTGCGGATATGTCCTCCCCAAAAATTGACAGGATGTGCTTGCTCTCAATATAAATCGTGCTTCGCAGACGCTGGAGAAGGAACGTGGTGGAGCGAGCCGCAGCGGCGCTTCCCGAGTTGAGATGGAAGAGCTGCATTTCACGACCGAAATAACAACCGCGGCAAGGTGGCGGAGTGGTTAACGCGACAGCCTGCTAAGCTGTTTCCTTCGGGAGCGTGAGTTCGAATCTCACCCTTGTCGAATTCTTTTTGTCTTTTCCCTTCGGGTCTCCGCCGACCAAGAGTCTTTTTTTTATTATACATGGACTTTTTTTTCTTTTTCTTTCCACCTTCTTTTTATCTCTTTACATTATTTATTTACTTTATTTCTGTTTTATTTCTGTATTGGGGTTTTTTTTGACGAATTCGGTGGTGTACTAATTAGAGATCCGTCCTATAATTAAATTACATTCTCCCGTACATGGGTAAGGTATGTCTTTGTCATGTGCGTAGGGAAGTAATACAACGTACTTGTTTCCGGGTGGTAAACGTCGAGGTGTTCAACCAAGCTGCGATATACGTTGTAATTACTATTGACGACTAATTTCAGCCTGTCAGCTCAAGACATGCTCTGGACCCAGCAGGATCAGGGTTTCGTTCTACACGTACAAATCGAAGACAAGAGACAAGACATCAACAGCCTGCAGCTCAAGCTGTTGTCGGTTTTAATTACGGATAGAGTACTGATTTTCAAAACCAGGGAAGACCACGCAAATTGGACTCCAGGGAGTGCGAGCTAATTTCACTGTGCGGATTGATGGTTTGCGGTAAAGTGAGCACAGAGGCTGGGAAGTGATTTCCAGCTTTGAGACAAGGGGAGAGACAAGTGGTGAAAGCCTCACACCGAAACGGGCTGGCGCAACGCCGACCGTTTTTAGCCCTCTCCTGGACGAACCCCTGAACGCGCGCCGATGTGGTCGCGTCGATCGGGGTGCAAGGGTTCAAACAGTGTACAACGTACAGGTACACGTATCACGGCGGGGCAACAAATCAACAGCCACCTACCAACGGTCAAAATGAATTGAGGCGAAAAAAAAAGGGGGGGAAAGTGTGTGAAGACGTTCTTTGGAATAATGACCAATACCAATCCTGTCTCGCCGTCACGAATCAGGACATTGTACGGTTATGCCGTTCTGTTTGTTCTTTGCTCCTTGTTCTTTGGCGCGGAAGGACTTGGCCTCGGCTGCGACTTGCAGCTCGCAGCGCAGGGTCGACGATCGAGAATTCGAATTCCGCAAAATCCCGCAACCCCTCGGCGTAGCGTTTCTTGGCGGGGGTTGCTTGACCCTTTCGAGGTCCTTGCACCAGGCTAACGACGTGACGGACAGCATTCGTGCTGCACGTCCCACTGGGCCTTGGGAAAGGATGGGCGGTGTAAATCGGCAGAGCAATGCCGAGCCAAGTTGCCCGTCGTTACCAAGCCCAGAATGGTCCCATGATACAAAGTGATTTATTAGTGTGCGAATAACTTGATCTTAAATACCAAGGGAAGAGTGGCATTGGGAGCGTCCCCCCACTGTTGAGACATTTATTTGAATATCTTGCTAATTTCGTGGACCGGCGGCGGATTAATTATGTTTGGTACGCCAGCAGAATCCCGAACGTGGGGTGCGTAAACGAGTCGATCATTTGTGGATGTCGGGACCCTTTACAAATTACGGTGCTTCGTATGCGGGCTTCGAATTCAAAATGTTTCATTCAGATGGTCCTGTAGATAACGAAGTCATAATGAGTGATGTGTCAAAGCTGCTGCGTACGGCGTGGTCTGGACAAAGAGCGACCGAGGCTGTCTACGTATGCTTTCGCTGCGCAAGAAGACTAAGAAGTTATCCGTAAGCATCATCTCCGCGGCCGAGCCACGTATTTTCTGCGTGTCGCTGCAAATGGCGGTGCATTGGGTGGTGGGCCTGGCTGGGGGAGCGCCAGAAGCGGCTGTACCTATTCGTAGTGATTATCACTCCGTAATTCTTACGAAGTACAGGCTATCGATCAGGACTAAGGAGTCAGCAATGGGTCCTGCACAGGGCTGTCCTGTTAGTTACCACTGCATATCAGAAACCCGGGCGACAATCCCCCGTATGACCTGACTTACCCCCACCTTGGCAAACGGAACTTGATGTACGCTGTACCGTGCATGCTTCTGCAAAGTAGAATATGCCAGCAATAAGATTACAGTATGTATCAAGGATTCGTACAGTATCCGATGACAACTGCATCGACCGCATTCTCTTCCGTTACAATACATCGTCCAGGAACTAGGTACCTAGGTACTGGACGTATTATTTGCTACGGACAAAATACAAGTTTCGTTGATAACAATATCCATCTCAGCCGAATAACAAGTCGTCTGCCCGACAAAATTCTTAGAAACCACTACCTAATTACTTGACACAGCGCAACACAAGCAAGGAAATATCATATGACGTATCAGCCGAACGATTGGATCAACACTATATATAATATTCTATGACAGAGAGAAGAAGTTAAGGTCGCAGAATTACCTAAGTTCTCGCGGTAGTAAAGAATAGCAGCCAGTACAAAGCTTCAGAGTATTTCAATATACAAACGGTAACGTAAATAAGGGGGGTTGAAAGGTTTTTTTTTCTTTTTTTCCCACCGTTTTTCCATTTTCCACTTTTTTTTTATTTAATCCAGGAGGTGTGGGGGGCAAAACGGGGGGCACGGTGTCGTTGGCAAGAACTCCATTGGCTCCACGAGTGACACACTGTGCTGACTTTCCGGCCACCCTCGACCGTGGGCCAATAACTTCGTCGATAGATGCGATGATACCGTATATGTCCGTCGTCCTTTGAACGGTAAGCCTCGACTACTTTGTACACCGTAAAAATACTGCACATAGTGTCGACGCATACTTTATACTGTACAAGAACAGGCTCGTTCTGGGATAGCCTGCGATTCGCCTCCATAGGTACTGTCTCGGGTCCGCTTGCCCTCCCCTGCCACTGAACTCTGACCCTCTGTGTTGACAAAGGCGGTCCATATTACGGCCACCCACCTCTAACCTTAACCAAGTTCTTTCCTCTTCGTATTTTACTCTTTTTCTTCGGATATCTTTCCTCTTCTTTTATCGTTATTCTGTCTACCGCCAGGAACGTTCTCGGGACGAAAAAAGTCTTCATCCTTTGGGTCTTCTCTTCCCGCCACTTGACCACGCCCATTCCCGACGTCATCGGGACTGTGGCAGCCCCAGCCAAATCCCTGGGAGGTCCTCTCTGCCTCTGCCAGCCCGCCTTCTGGGACTTGGGATGATCTTGCCGGTCATCGCCCTCGCCGCACACGGCACTTCGGCATCTTTGTCGTGTCTCGATCCTCGTTCCCACAATCTGTCAACTTTGACCCATTTGTGAACACCCTCTCTTTGACGGCATCTTTGTCACATCATACACAGCCACATTCGACGCGGAATGTTCGTTATGCTCTGATAGAACCCGAGTCCGTCCCTAGGGGCACTAATGTTGCCTCCACGACTGTTCACTCTCCCGATTACACAACAGTCTTCCGATCTGCACTCGCCCTTTCATCGCGAGTCCTTTGAACACTCCAGCCCTTTTCTAGCTCTTTTCCGACCATTCTCTCTCCATCCTTCACTCGATCCAAGGCTGGTTTTTCCGACATCCTCCTCTTCTGTTAAAGCGCCGAAGCGTTTGAGAGAGTCACGACCAACACCCAAGTTTCGTTCCCAGAGGGAATAGAAAGCTCGCACCCATGACATACGGCATGCACACCGGTGCGGCGTCCACCGTCTCGGCGTGTTCAGCACATGCCGCGAATCTTCCGGTCATTGCAGACGAGGAATCCTCTGACGTGGACGAACCCCCCGATTCGAATCTACCTTATTCCCCCATTAAATATGGGGCCTTTGGCCGAAATCCCATCCGACGTTCTGTCGAGATGCACCACCAATCTCTTTTGACCAAGGCTCTTCAAAGTCGTTCAGAAGAAGACGGCACGGACGACCGCCCTTCGACTGGATCCTTTCGACTCCGCCGCTCCGCAACAAGTAACGCCAGTCTCGCTTCCACCGTTGACCTGACTAGCGATACCGGCCTAACAAGTCCCTCTCGAACCAATACGCCCAGCCCGCCTCTTCCCGAGCTTCGATTCCTGACCCTCAATGGCGAGCCCGCGAAGGAACAAAATCGCCCTCCTATATCTCGACCCGACGAACCCGTCAAGGATCTGGTGGCTCCGAAAAAGCGCCGCATCCAATTCGCATGCGACTGCAGGCCGGAAACGAAGCCCGTCGTGCAACCTGTCCCACAAAGACCGGTCCCCCCTGCCAAAGCTTCGTCTCCTCCTCCGCGCAAGACGAGAATTAAATTTGCATACCCAGCTCCTCTTCCTGCGTCCACTCAGAACACTCCGCCTCGCCAAGTGGAGCGGCTCGAGGCGCTCGTCTCCCAGCGTCAACCCTCGGTGTCAGATCGCGAGCGATCGCGCGGCAGTGGCCAAAAGCAGCGCTACTCTCGGTCTCCTAAGCCTGTCGTGCCTCACCATGCTTCCGACGGTTCTGCCTGTAAGACGAAGAAATATATCACTGCGAGCGACAAAGATCTCCAGTGTGAATCGTCTCGTTTTCACGAATTCGCCAGCGACGATCCCTGCCATGACGACTGGATCCTCGAATCGTGCCCCTCCCAGGGACGCAAACTCACCATCGATGACACTCTTTCGAAGGAAAACGAGATACGCAAGATCGCGAGGGAAGCTGAAGAGGAAGCCGATGCAGAGGAGGACTTGGAAACAACAAGGGGCGATGACGACGAAGACGAGGACGCCATAGGCGACACAGTTAGCGGCGTCGTCGGCGAGGATGATGTGCAGCATGACGATGAAGATGACAACGATGACGATGACGGGGACGACGACGACAATGATGGCGAGGACGATGAGGACTACGACTCCGTCGGCTATCACACAGATGAGGAGACGGGCTTCGCTGCCTCTGACGATGAGAACGAGGACGACGGCCTCCAGCTCTGGACTCCCGCGCAGCCGGCCTTGCGCCTCTCAGGAAGCACGCCAGTCCCTCGCCGCTCCTCGACGATGGCTGGGGACCTTTCTGACTCCTCCGTCGGGTCGCCTAGCGGCGTCCGTGGGATCCGGTCTCGCAAGACTAGACGAATCAAGATCCGACCGGGCACACCGGAGCTCCCCGACAGCACCGACTTCGTCTGCGGTACTCTAGACGAGGACCTTCCTATGGAGGATGCGTACATCTCGTGTATGGCCGCTCGGAGGCGTGAGAAACTTCACGTCATCCCTCAAGACATCGACCCCAGCTTTCCCGCCTCAGATCCTGAAGGCGAGGGCGAGGAAGAAATATTCAATCCGGTGAAGCACGCTAGTGACGACGAGGACCCGTGGCTTCATGGTAAGATGGATGACCTGCATCATGAACAAGACGGGCGCGGTCGGAAGAAGAAGGGGACACGTCCTTCTCCCAAACGCTATCACTCGCCGCCGCCACCAAAGAAATACCACTCTCCACCTCCGAAGCGTCACCATTCCCCCGCCCCAACCAAAACTCGTGGGCGCTCTTCGCCACATCGTCTCTTCGACCGTCGTCTGTCGCCTCGTCTTCTTTCACCCCCTCCGCCTCGGCTTCTCCAGTCGCCGCCTTCGTCTCTGCGCACGGGAGCACAGGCGATTCCCTTTAAGGAGCTGGCGTCGCGCCCCGGCCTGACCATGACCAAGTCGCTGCCTCGAGCACCCGCTTTGTTTCCCAACCACCGACATGGCCGTCGCAGCAAGCTGGCCATGACCAATGCAAATAGCAACAACGACATCCATGTTCGAGGTGCCATCGACATTGTTAAGGGTCTGGAGAAGAAGCGTCAGAGACGCAGGGAGAAGTTTTATCAAAAGTATTGCAACCGCGCTCGCAAGGGGCAAATCCCGGAACGCAAGCCTCAACCCGGCATGGGATATGAGCGGATGAGGGAGCTTGGCCTCATCATGGCCGGGAAGATTGAACAGTGCAATTATGTTCTGTCAGTCTGAGCTTCCTCTGGACGACAAGGCCGTCGCCTTGTTCTTTTTCTTTTTTGTGTCTTTCCGCATTCTTCCCTTGAATTTTCTCCCCGTTGTATTTGCATCAAGTGCCACCCGCACGAGGCGACCTAGGTGTTTAGCATTGGGAAGGTGCGGCGTCTCACTTCTACCTGCATCCAGACGGCATAACCTGATATTTCTTTTCCTATGTCCATATTCTTTTCAGTGTACATAGCGACATGCCTTTTTTTGGGGGGGGGTGTCATTTTCTACTATGCCCATCGTAAGATGAGGCGAGGGCTCTGTGTATAATCCCTTTAGCGAGACGAGTGGACAGGCTGGAGTGAGGGGAGGAGTCCATACCCTGGTAAAGACTCGTTAGCTTGCATGGGACGGTTGGGACATCAGGGGCATTTCTGGAGTTTTGGTAATGAGACATATGGCGGCTTATTGCCTGTCTTTCGATGACATATCATGCTGGTTCTACGAAGTATTCGCTGTGCAGTGATCTGACAGGATGAACCTTGGGAGCCCGGTTTGACAACAGTTGCAAACTGTCTACGGTGGTGGCGGACAAGACAATCTCGCCTTGCACGTAGAGCAGGGCTCTAGAGCACAGGTTTCGTGGCCCGTGACGATTTGGTAGAGCTGATACGGGGCTCCTACAACCCTTATTTTTGAGTAATCTGGCCTTTCAACTCTTGGATCAATCGCGCATTCAGGACACGGCTCAATCCTTGTTCGATTAGGTAATCCAAACGTCGGCACTTCGATGAAAGCCTTACAGCTCGTGCCAGCTGTACCGGATTTCAGGCCTTGATTTTCAGGCAACAATTTCCATCCTCTTCCCACAAGGCTTCCTTCACCTCGTCACTACACGAGAAACGAGCTCCCGTTTCCTGCCAACTTGGCCCTTTTTGTTTATTACATCCCTCACGACTCGCACGATCTGAACAATTCAAGGCCCACACTGAGATCATAACTGGCCGAGACCGGCAAAGCAACTAGACAATACAATACCTATTGCTACGCTTTAATCATGTGGATTATCAACTGGTGTATGTGTCCTCGCCCGTCCCCGAGAGCTCAAGCGACACCCGTTCTTTGGAAGTGGTCACTCCAAAAGAAAACCCCACTGACATATACCGACTCCTGCAGTCTACGATGTGCTCTCGAATCTTGGCTTGCTGAACAAGCATGCCAAGCTCCTATTCCTCGGTCTGGATAACGCTGGCAAGACGACTCTCCTGCACATGTTGAAGGTCCGTAGGACTCTTGAAGCTTTCATGATGATTATATAACTTTGGGTCATTGCACGGGATACACCGCACTGTTTTCGAGTGCTCTAGTCATGACGCCGGGGACCGACCGAAAAAAAGAAGAAGAAAAAATTCGACGAACGGCAGCGACATGGAACGCTCTGCTAACTTCAATCTCCAAACGATAGAACGACCGTGTTGCCATTCTCCAGCCCACTCTCCATCCCAGTTCGTACTACCCGTCTCTTTTCCCCTCGCGGTGACGCCGCAACTGTTTGTCTGTTTGTTTGTGATCCCCGAGCTGACAGTCTCCACCGCGCCAACCAGCCTCCGAAGAACTCGCCATCGGTAACGTTCGGTTCACGACTTTCGACCTGGGCGGCCATCAGCAAGCGCGCCGGCTGTGGAAGGACTACTTCCCCGAGGTGAATGGGATCGTCTTCCTGGTGGACGCGAAGGACCACGAGCGGTTCCCCGAGGCCAAGGCGGAGCTGGACGCGCTCCTCTCGATGGAGGAGCTGCAGAAGGTCCCCTTCGTCGTGCTCGGCAACAAGATCGACCACCCGGATGCCATTTCGGAGGACGAGCTGCGCCACCAGCTTGGACTTTACCAGACTACGGGCAAGGGCAAGGTGCCCCTTGAGGGGATCCGGCCCATTGAGCTGTTTATGTGCTCGGTGGTTATGCGGCAAGGTTGGTCTTTTTCCCATGTTCCCGTGTGGAGGGAGGTTTTCCAGCATGCCAAAAATAAAATAAAAATAAAAAAAGGAATGGAGAAGAAAAACAACTGGACAAGCTAACATGTTTGAAAACACAGGATACGGCGAGGGTATCAGGTGGTTGTCGCAGTACGTCTAAGCGAGGAGGAAGAGCCATCGACGCTTTTCCTCTTCTTCTTTTTCGAGGAAATCCGAGCTAGGCAGCGGCGCACTACCGGCGACACTCGACACTACACTGGATCATGGACTACTACTACGATACGATACCGATGTCTGCACGACGGAGATGGGCGTGGGGAGCTTTGGCGTCGTCAGAAACAGGTAATTTTTTTTCAAACACCTGATTTTGATCGGGGGTACGACGAGCTATAATGGATTGATTGCACTGGAGGACTGGATCTCTTTTGCCGTATTCTTCCCTGGTGTCTTGTCGAAGGACCCGAGGCCATACTTTGGAGGGAAGCGAGGCGGTAGGGGGAGCCAGATACCTTAGATAACCCGTCAGGCAAATGGCCAATTCTGTCCATAGAGGCAGGCGGTTTGTTAGATTATTTAGTACTCGAATTGCGTTCTTTTCCTCGTGCTTTGGCTGCTCTGGTCTCGGTTGTCTGGTTCTTGCCTGTTCTATTCTGTAGGGCGATGTACGATACGATGCTCAAGATAGTACCTAAGGTACCTGTATTTCACAGGTCTTCGCTCACGTAATTTGGTCTCGACAAATTGACCTCAAGTACCTTACGCAGTGCGGAACAGACTCGACATCGCGAAACGTCCAAGTCAGCAAGGTACCTTACCTTATCAGGTACTCCATTGGTACGTACTAATTACGGAAGGCTAACATCTATCCCCACCGACGTCATGTTGGGGTGTGATCCCGAGGTACTTCTTCACAAGGCCTTTTCCACCCACTTCTACCTTGTACAGTACGTTTATTATTGATTATTATTATTTAGGGACACGGGAATTGTCCCCAACTTCATCCATTCCCAAACCAACTTCTTCGTTTTCGCCCCTTTCTCTTCTAGAGAGCAACACGACTCATCTCCCAGAACCCATCGGATCAATCACTCCCATCTCTTGGAATCTGGGTCTTATAATGAGTCAATTTCCTTCGGAAGCAGCCCGCAACTATGGCTGAGTCCTCGACCGATCCTTATGGCTTCCCGCCAGAGGCATACAACCCGTCCAGCTTACCGGATATCGACACCAAGTTCATAAAGGACGAAGATCTGGCTGCCTTCATCTCGGCTCTCCATGCCCCCGACCCTCTTCAGAATCAATCCGACGACATCACTTCCCCGCACTCCTCCCGTAGCGCCAGCTATTTCTTGGACCCCGATCACACCAAACGCAAGGGCTCCGCCGTCAGTCTTTTCGATGGCTCCGACTCGCAATCTATCGCCGCTCAAGCTGCCGCGCAAGCGGGGGACGTATCTGCCCCTTCTGGAGGGCTCCCCCAACAACAACACCAACAACAACAAAATGGCGTGTACGGCAATGCCCGTCCGCCGACCCCGACTCTGGGCCGTCGTCAGTCGAGCATGTTCATCACCGCCCAGAACGACTGGGCCCCGATCCACAGGCGTGTCCATCAAAAGAGGCGTGGAGACGACGCGCGCAAGGCAGACGGCGGAGGTGGCCAGGCCCTCCTGGGCACGCGTACCAAGGACGAGACGCGCGAAGGGTACCTGTACAGCCTCCTCAAATGGCCCATGCTCTTCTTCGTGGGTGCGTGGTTGGTCGGCCTGTCGCTGACCTACCTCTACACGCGGCTGTACATCTGGGTCTACGAGCAGTTCGTCACCTGGCGCGGGCGTCGGCAGCAGCTGCGCATGAGGCTGCGCCGGACGCACCGGTACCGCGACTGGGTGGCGGCGGCGCGGGAGCTTGACAGGTACCTCGGCCGCGAGAAGTGGAAAGAGCAGAACAGCTTTGCGTATTACGACTCCAAGACGGTTCGGCGCGTGTGGGAGCAGCTGCGACGTTGTCGCTTGCGGGCCGAGGCTGTCGAGCACGGTGGTGTGGACGAGAAAGAAAAGGAGAGCGGAAGGGCTGTGGAGGATCTCAAGGCCCTCCTGGAGGCGTGCGTCAAGAATAACTTTGTGGGCGTGGAGAATCCCAGGCTGTATAGCCAGACGTACTATGGTACCAAGAATCTTGTGCAGAATTTCGTCGACGAAGGTGAGTTCTGCCCAGTCCGCGTGCCTGGGGGAAGGGTATTGGTGGCATGTATGCAAGTGGATGCCTGTGGATGCCTGACTGACATACGTCTCTCTCCCTCTCTGTCTTTCTCTCTCTCTAGTGGAAAAGAGCGTGGATTTCCTCCGCGAAACGAAACAACTGAGCCTCGAGGAGAAACGTGTGGCGTTCAAGGGGATGCATGCCAATTTCGGCCGCACGGCGCTCTGCCTGTCCGGAGGAGCATCGTTTGCATACTATCACTTTGGGGTCGTCAAGGCGTTGCTGGAAGCCGACCTGCTACCCGATGTCATTACGGGAACTAGTGGCGGTGCCCTTGTGGCAGCCCTGGTGGCAACGCGTACGAACGAGGAGCTCAAGCAGCTGCTCGTCCCCGCGCTCGCCACCCGCATCACGGCGTGCCGCGAGCCCATCACTACGTGGTTGCCGCGATGGTGGAAGACGGGTGCGCGGTTCGACGCGGTCGACTGGGCTCGGCAGTCCTCCTGGTGGAGTCGCGGGTCCATGACATTCCGCGAGGCGTTCGAACGGACGGGCCGCATCCTCAACGTGAGCTGCGTCCCAGCCGACCCGCACTCGCCCACGATCCTCTGCAACTACCTGACCAGCCCCGACTGCGTCATCTGGTCGGCGGTCCTCGCGTCGGCGGCGGTCCCGGGCATCCTCAATCCCGTGGTGCTCATGATGAAGCAGCGCGACGGGACGCTCGCGCCCTACTCGTTCGGGCACAAGTGGAAGGACGGCAGCCTCCGGACGGACATACCGATCAAGGCGCTCAACCTCCACTTCAACGTCAACTTCCCCATCGTGTCGCAGGTCAACCCGCACATCAACCTCTTCTTCTTCTCGTCGCGCGGGTCGGTGGGCCACCCGGTCACGCACCGCAAGGGCAAAGGGTGGCGCGGCGGGTACGTCATGTCGGCGGTCGAGCACTACCTCAAGCTGGACATGAACAAGTGGCTCCGGTTCATCCGGCACGCCGAGCTGCTCCCGCGGCCGCTGGGCCAGGACTGGTCGCAGCTCTTCCTGCAGCAGTTCAGCGGCACCGTCACCGTGTGGCCCCTGACGGTGCCGTCGGACTTTGTGCACATCCTCTCGGACCCGGACCCGCCGCGCCTGGCGCGCATGCTGCACGAGGGGCGGCAGCGCGGGTTCCCGATCCTCAAGTTTGTGGGGAACCGGCTCCGCGTGGAGCGGGCGGTCGAGCGCGGCCGGAGGGAGACGCGGCCGTGGGTCCGGCGGGGCAGCATCGAGACGATCCTCAGCGAGGAGGACTTGCGGAGCCTGCTGATCAACAGCGGGAGCACGGATGCAGACGAGGACTCGACGGACGGGGAGGCTGGGGAGCTGACGACCGCGTTGGAGAATGAGGTTGCTATTGCGGATGACGATTTGGACGACCAGGAGGTAGGGCAGAGGTGGAGGTAGGGGGTTTGGAAGACCGTTTAGACGGGATGCGTCTTTAACGTGGCTACGCGTTGCGTTGCTCTGTCTTTCTGTCTTTTTTTCTCCCTTTTTTTCTTTTTTTCTCTTTCCTCTTCATTTTTTCCTTTTCCCTTGGATCACGACGAGGACACGGCAGCATGGCGTTTTAGGGGTTCAGGGTGTGTAGAACGCTATTACAAGGAGGGTAGAGGGCCGACATGGGCGTATACAGCAGAGAATAGATCATTATACAATGACATTGGAACTGTCCTTCTCGCGACCAACCACCATGGTGTTGGTTAAGGTACAGGGCTACAAGTACCTAATTAGGTACCTACCTTACATCAGCTCCCGTCTTATCGCACCCGATTACTTATCAGAAGGACAGATTGTCCATGTCCTGGACTGCACCACGGGCCACCAACCTCCGACTGCCGTGTACAGATCGGGATTAGCGCGGCTTTCCTTTTGCATGTCCCCGACCGGGCAGCCATCCATTCGGTGGCAAACGAGGACCCACCTTGGCAGTTTCAGTCTGGCAAGTACTGTCGAGCAAGTCCTTGTCGGCTGGCAAGGAAAGAACGCTTAGGTAACCCAGAATATTTTCCGACGTTCAACGCCGGAGGCCACGATTGTCAACTGGGAACTTGGGTCCGATGTGCGACCGAACTTCCCCATTCCTTTCACTCCCCTCAACACCATAGCTCCAAGACCCTGACCACGGCCACGGTCTCTACGTCAAGATGAGCTCCGGGTATTCATACGACGAGCAGGTCAGTTATAATGCCCTTCGAAAAGAAAAAGAAAAAAGAAGTGCACAGACAGAGAGCTCACATATAACACGCAGGGGCAATTCTTCCCCATCTTCATCCTCACCCTCACCAGTCTCATTACCCTCCCTCTTACCTACACTCTCGTCTCCCCAGCAAAGGATCTCGAGGCCACTGCCCCGCGGATCAAGTCAGACTACAAGCCAGAACATGACGACATATTACAATCCCTCCGCCAGGCGCAGAAGCGCAAGCAAAGGCGTGTTCTCCGTACCGTCTTCGTCCTGGCCGGATGGGCCCTCATGGCCTTCATGGTCTACCTGATCGTTACCACCCAGCGCACCGCGCCCAAGATTTGGAATCCCTATGACATTCTAGGCATTTCTGATGTACGTCTCCGTTCCTTCCCTCCTTCCCTCCTTCCCTCCTTCCCACCTTTCCCATTGTCGTATTCCATTCCTCCGCTTCGTTTCCAGTAGTGGACAGGTTGGCCTGACTGGTCTTTTTTTTATTGCCCGCCCCCCCTCTAGTCTTCGACCGAACAAGCAATCAAGAAAAGGTACAAGACCCTGTCAAGGACACTGCATCCCGACAAGGCCAGGCCCGACGCCGCCAAGAACGAGACGGTCGAATCCCTCAACACCGCCTGGGTCGACATCTCCAAGGCATACCAGGCCCTTACCGACGAGGAGGTCCGGAACAACTACATCCAGTACGGCCACCCCGATGGCAAGCAGAGCTTCTCTATCGGCATCGCTCTACCCCCATGGATCATCGCCCACGGCAACGAGAAATATGTCATCTTCCTGTACACCGCCCTTCTCGGCGTTCTGCTTCCCTATCTGGTTGGCTCCTGGTGGTACGGCAGTCAGCGCATGTCCAAGGAGGGCGTCCTCATGGAGAGTGCCAATAACCTCTTCCGTGCCTACGTCGACAGCATCGACACCGGGGGCGTCATCACCGCCCTGAGCGTCGGAAAGGAGTACGAGGAGGCTTTCAAGGGCGACAAGGCCGACTCCGGGCTCGCCACCATCGAGTCCCGCATCGCCTCCCAGGACGACGACTCCGGAATGTCTACCAAGGATAAGCACGCCCTCGTGGACCTCGACAACGGCGTCCGCCGCAAGGCCCTCGCTCTCCTCTGGGCCTATCTGGGCCGCGTCGAGCTCGGCGATGACGCCCTCAACCGTGCCAAGTACGAAGTAGCCCCGGTGGCCCACTCCCTCAACCGCGCCTTCTCCGTCATTTCCCAGGCCTTCGGTCACACCGATCCCATCGTCGCCTCCTTCAAGACCAGCCAGCACCTCGTCCAGGCCATCCATCCCAAGGCGTCCCCTCTCCTGCAGCTCCCCCACTTCACCCCTGCCGTCGCGCGAGCCGTGGACGGCGATCGCAAGGGCCACACCACCGTCCAGCAGTTTATGGAGCTCCCGGACGCCCAACGGAGAAGCCTCGTCGTGGGGAAGGGCCTCCTCTCCGATGCGCAGTACAAGTCGGCCGTCGGCGTCGCCCGGCAGCTGCCGTATTTCCAGGTCGCCAAGGCCTTCTTCAAGGTGACCGGCGAGAAGTTCATCATCCCTTCCTCCCTCGTGACCCTGGTCGTCAAGGGACGTATCGTGCCCCCGGGCAGCGAGAACGTGCCGGCCGTCAACCCGCTGGACCTGGAGGACGTGGACCCCGCCGAAGACGACGTCGACGCCTTCATCGGCCGCAAGAGCAAGGTCATTGTCAAGGCGGCCGACGGGAAGCCGGTGGCCTTGGACAAGAAGCCCGTGCTGCCCCCGCTGGCCCACGCGCCCTACTTCACCCGCGCCCAGGCCCCCACCTGGTCCGTCTTTTTGACGGACGCCAAGCAGGGCAAGATGGCCGTCCCGCCCTTCCACTTCACCCACTTCGACCAGCCCATCTTCGGCGACGACGGCAAGCCCACCTTCAACATGCAGACTCTCAAGGCGCAGTTCGCCGCGCCGCCACAGCCCGGCCACTACACTTTCGTCATGCACGTCATGAACGACAGCTATGTCGGCTTCGATACCACCATGGAGGTGACGCTGGTGGTCGAGCACCCAAGCAAGGCGGCTGCCATTGTAGCTGAAGATGAGATTAGCGAACCTGAAGAGGGTGAGTCTTTTTTTTTTTTTTTTAACCCTTCCTTTTCTCACCCAACTCCCTTGCCCCCTTGTTACAGTCTGCTAACAGTCCTTTTTTTTTCTCTCCTTCGCAGACTCTTTGGCTGGCCAGATGAGCGCCCTCAAGGGCGGCAGCGTCCCGGGCACGACCAAGCCCAGGAAGAAGCCGGCCGAGGAGGACTCGGACGAGGAGAGCGGCACGGACGACGATGAGGCGGATGACACGAGTGAGACGAACACGGATACGGAGGATGAGGGTGCGTAAAGGCCGTGGGCAGTCCATTGGTCTACAGGGGAGAACGGTGGGCTGTGTTGCGTCGAGAGGTTTGTCATTTACGTCGAGTCTCCGTCCTGGTTTGTCCCTCGATGGAGGGGGGTTACGTGGGAACCTGATGTTCTTCTTTTTTATTTTATCCTATTTTCGTTCTCCGTGGTGTAGCGGAGGTAAAGCGACACGGGGAAGGGGCATCATGTTTTGGTGGATGTCACTGTAGCGATAGGGGAATGAGGCCCAGGGCATGGGACGAGCCGAGGAGAAAGAAAGAAAATGATGAGAATCAATACCCGGCTTTACATGCCCTTTGCGTAAGCGTGTGTCTCTCTGTGCTGGCGGCCATTATGACGGGTCAGGCTTGTAAGTTACGCCTCTCTTCAGCGAAGCAGGACATACTCATGATCCTGTGGTTGAGCATTTTCTCGGGGCCCGGGGCGGGATAGAAGTTTGGAAGCTGAGCTGATAATGTGGCAGATGAAGAAAGCATTCTGCATTGAGATATCTGAGGCTGCGAGACGATGAGCCCAGGCATCCCTCACATACATTACATACATGCTCGAAGAGTAGCAATCCCCGGTGATCCTCAAAAATTCAGCAAGGCTGTCGCATGTGTCGCGTTTCGTGTGTCCTCTGCCTGTCCAACAAAAAGGGCCCGTCTCCTCTGGACAACGAAGGTAAAGAACAGGAAAAGAGACAAAAAAAAGGGGGGGGAGAAAGGGGTGTCACGCAGGACCACGAGTCTCCAACGTCCTTCACACCCCCCTACCCCCTCTCCCAAAATCAAAGTACCCAGGCAACAAGGAAGAACAGAAAAGAAACATGCTAGTGCATTCTCCCTCCATTAGCTTCATCCTGACTTTCCTTGCTCTTCTCCTCCGCCCCTCCGGTCGAGAGGCGCATTCCTCGCATCATGAGATGCTTGCTCCGGCTCCAGGCCAGGCCGCCCTCCCAGGCACCCGGGTCGCTCTCGGCGGGATATTCCTCGATACTGGCCTGGTGCTGCCAGATGTGCTTGTTGAGCCACTCGCTGTTCATGCCGCGTCGGGTGCGGTGGGACGAATCCGTGCGGCCGACCTCCCTGAACAGGAACCCGCGAAGCATGCGCTCCATCCAGGCGAAGTCGGGGTCGTCCTTCCCTCGCATCAGGGTCTCGACAACGATTTCTATGCGATGAGAGTCAGGAATTCTCGATTCTCTCTGGCAAGAAACATGAGTGGGGAAAAAAGGGGGGGGCAAGTTCGAAAGGAACGTACGACTCGGCAAAGGCCGCTTGAGTCTCCCATCTGTGTGCAGGTCATCCCACAGACCGTCGGCAGCCTCACACTCCTAGTTGTGCGGCATGCTCCCGGTGCAGTGGAGATGGGACGTGTGGGTCAAGAGGCGGTCAATGATGGCGGTTCCGACGTGCTTCCGGCGATACTCGTGGTGGACGAAAACGGAGAGCTTCATTGTGAGCCGGCCGACATGCTTCCCGCGCCCGAAGCCGCTGTCATAAGGTTGCATGAAGCCGAAGCCGATGACGGTGGGCTCCCGCTTCTTGAACTGCAGGCCCCCCATTTGCGAAGCGGCAGACCACGCTCTGAACTCCTCCCACATCTCCTTGGAGGGCCAGTTGCCGGCGTCGTTGAGATCGACGGGGCGGTGGACGGCGACGATGAAGGGGAGCTTCGCGTCCCTGCAGGTGCGGCCGATGCGGCGGAAGTCCTCGTCGTCGACGAGCTCGGTGTCCCAGGCGCGAATGCCGCGCTTGATCTCCCAGTTGTAGATGTCGACGATGCCGCGGAGGTCGGAGGGCTTGGCGGGACGGAGCACGCAGTCGACCTCGACTTTTCCGGGCGGGGGGGGAGCTGGTTGCGGCTGGTCGACCTCGACCTCGCAGCGGGCGTAGGTACGCGCCTGGTGTAGCCGCCGGGCCTTCTTGCCTCTCACCCTGTTCTCGCGTGCGATGAGATATTCGCTGTTCCAGTTTCGTCGATGGTCACGCAGGCTGGGCTTCAACTTCATTTCGTCGTTCATGTCGACGAAGGTCGCGGGTTGTTCGACGGGCGGCCGGAGAAGGCCCGTTTCGGTGTCGATGTCGCACAGCCAGTGCAGCTCATGGCTACCGTCCTCAAGGAAGGTCGGCCGGACGTCGTGGGCGATCCTGGAGTTCCAGTCAACAATGAAGGCATGGTAAAACTCGCGAGTACGAAATATGAAGTCGTCATCGCCCTCGTTCATCCAGGGGTCTTTTCGGATTATTCCACCGACGTTCTCGAGCTTGTGCTTCGGGGCAATTTCATTTCGAATATCTGCCCCTTCGACGGGCTGGTCGGCGTCTTTGCTGCTTCCCGTGACATCGTCACCAGTGATTCCGGCAACTTGATTGACAACACCGGGGCTATCAATGCCATCGATGCTGATTTCCCACGCCGACTGACTCTTCGGGCTCTTCGGGACAACGGGGCTCTCCACCTCAGGCTCGTCGACTTCTGCACGAGGGGTAACAGGTCTCCAAGTCAGTTGCTTTTGGTCATTGGCCTCCTGGGTATCTTTCTCTGCCTCCAACTGGAGGGGAATCTCGGAGCTGCTGGGCTGCTGGGGACTGTTGGGAATGAAATCCAGGCTGTTGACATGGTCAACGGTCAGCTTGACTTCACCATGGCCAAGATCAGGGACACAAGACATCTTGGTAATGGCGGTATCGGGTGTAGACGGATCGGGCATATTGTGTTCGGACTTGGCTGCAGAGGCGTCCTTAAGAGAGTTCTGGGCTTCGTTGGGAGGCTTTATCGAAGTCGAGGCTGAGACAGAGGGGAAACGGCCGGGCGGGTATCGACCAGGAGGGGCCTTATTTCGCGTGGGAAACCTGTTGGCCCCCGCAAGGAACGACTGGGCATTCTTGTCGCGGTATTCCATGGCCAAAGACGATCATCAAAGCATTCGAGGGTGCGATTTTGACGGTCCTTGACCACGATACTTTGGAGTCGGTGTCTCGAGAGGAGCCTTTTTACTGCCTTGCGAGAGGAATTGTGTGGGAGAAGTGAAGCGAGAAGGGCACAGGGATTTGAATGAGATGGGTGATGGGAAAAGGACCAAGCAGGTATATTACCTGGTAGTTACTCTAAAATGGACAACGCCTTTTGCCCTTGTTCAAACACTGCACTTTACAATTGTTGCCTAATTGATAAGATATGCGATAACGTTCACAAATGCCTCGGTCAACATGGCAGGTGAGCAACGTATCTAAGGTACTTAGACTTGAGGGCAACTGCTCTGGGAAGGAGGAAGGAGTGACGAACTGAGCACTTGCCACGAAGATTAGCTGCCGGACTGAATTCCCGGTAGCTTACAAGGTCATATGTCTGTGCACCTTATGTAGAACTGCGAATCTCTATAAGACACGGTTTCTTGAGATTACTAGCCCTCTCAAAGATTGGTTAGATTCCCCGTCCTCCATATCATTGCCGGTGTTGGTGTAGAATAGGGGGTTAGGTTACGACTCACCGACTCACCGACGAGGAGTCACGTGTTATTTCGGTGTGAAGCCGATAGTTTCCTACCTTACCATACAGATCCTCCGTACGAGTTCCTAACCCGCTTCGGTGAACAGTACACGCCCAACCGAATGCGAGGTAATGGGCGCCCAGGTCAGAGATGGATGTCCTATCTCCAGAAATCTGATCATATACTAAAGAAACGGCATAGTAATATACGGCGGTGGTAGTTATACCGCTACGTTATTCAAGCCATCCTCCCATTCATCTTGAACGCATCGCCCCCATGCTATCTATTCTGCGAAAAGCCAGGCTGAAGGATAAGGAGATGAGGATCCTGATGCTGTGCGTTGAGATCCACCGCCCCTTGTAGGGAGCGAGACCAGTTTCTGGATCCCATGCTGACGATGGCCTGAAAACTAGCGGTCTGGACAATGCAGGGAAGACCACCATCGTCAAGAAGATCATGGGAGAGGATGTCAACACCGTCAGCCCGACTCTGGGCTTCATCATCAAAACCATTGATTACGACGGGTGCGTTCCTGAAGCTTCCTTCACCCCGACTGGCCGTCTCGCATCGTGTCATGGTACTGACGAGTGTCGCAGATACAAGCTCAATATCTGTTCGTGACTCCAGAGCAAGCCGGGTCTAATTCTCCGATGGAACCCATGGTTACGTTAACACACGCTCCCAGGGGACGTAGGAGGCCAGAAGACGCTACGGTCATACTGGCGCAACTACTTTGAGAAAACGGACGCTCTCATCTGGGTCGTCGACGCCACGGATCGTCTACGCATTGAAGACTGCAGGGACGAACTCCACGGCCTGCTCCAGGAAGAGGTGCTGCTACTTTCCCCCCCGTTCCCCCATGTCTCTTGACTCCCATTCTCTTTTGCCCCTTTCGTTCGCCAGGCCGCGCTTGCTGACTCGAAAGCGAACACAGCGCCTTGCGGGAGCGAGTCTCCTCGTATTTGCCAACAAGACGGACGTCAACGGCTGTATGGACGAAAAAGAAATCCTGCAGGTAAGTACGGTGCAAGTGGCGGCTGGATTCTTTGAAGTGAGTGTTCTGACGGTCTTCACAGGGCCTTCAGCTAGAATCTATACGGACACATAGATGGAACATCCTACAATGCAGCGCCATGACGGGGGTAAACCTGAAGGAGGGGCTGGCCTGGGTGGTAGATGATGCAAAGAAGCGTCTATTTCTATATTGAGATGATTGGCCATGCGGGGGCGGAAGGAGGGGTCTTCACCATGGTAGCAGGCAAAGCATTCCACGACCCTGAGTTCAGCGAGGACACGAGACGGTAACGCCAACACCTAAATCCGGACAATGTCGTTTGTTTCCAGGACAGAGTGAATATACCCGTCCCCAGCATTGCCAACCGGAAAAGGCGCACCGTATGGCCAAGAATCAATCCCACGACAGCGAAACGTCGGTGCAATCCGTAGCAAGCATAATCCTGCCACTAGTCGAGTGGCTCAGGGCTCAGGGCTCAGGGGAACACGATCGGGGCTTTGTCCACCAGTCAGGTCTCCAGCACACGTGTTTTGGGAGAAAGCTGGGCGCGATTTTAGGGCTTTTCACAAGGGTAAAAGGGGAGGGGGGGGAACGACGGTGGCAAAGAAATAAAGAGAATGACTTCATAGGTAACAAAAGACGAAACAGCCCAGAAAATGGCAAGGTTATTACGCAAGCACGTCAAGAAATTGCGCCCAATTTAGCAGGAATCCTAACGCAAATCATATTTCGTAAAGTCTCTCGACGGTGGGCACACTGGTTCCAAGTTTGTTTCGAGCGAAGGCGTCGGAAAGACCAAAGGTCGAGAATTTCGTAATTTCGTAACGAGAGGGACCAAGACACCAAGACACTGACTCTGGCCCTAAGGTACCTACAGTTAAAGTACGGTGTACAGCCACCCCCCCCCCCCCCCGTAATCGGTTCTCCTTCAGATGTAAAAGTCGCCTTATAGCACTCGTCTGAGTTACTTTAAGCGGAAGGACGGGACGGTTACGGTGGCTTATGTAGGCTTAATGTTATAGCAACAATGTATCATCGTGAAGGCGGGGAGGTTCGGCACGGGGTAAGGAGACGGAAAACTCGAGCCTCGCCTCAGCTGATTATGACGATGAGACATCTTCGTGTACGTGTAGTGTAGATACGATGGAATGTGATTCGGATAAAGGGAGTGATTACAAAGCCGGTGCTTGCTTCGCCAGTTCATAAAAGGCAAGGAAGGTGAGTAATAAGGCTTCTCGAACTGAATCGTAATGAGGAGGGGTAGGACGGAAGGAATGTGACTCTGGCTACCTTTACTATCTTCACACCTTATCCCTGGTGCCGGGGCATTTGCTGGTACGCGCCCTGAATGTCAAGGAAAGGAAACACCAAAAAAAGACCGAAAAGACCATCCGTATCCGACTCGTTGATATCAAATGGCAAAGGTAATTACAGCGTAAAACTTGACTCGCGGTTGAGTGATTCTCGAGGACTCAAGTACCTGTTCCGTACCCAGTTAGAACACGAACAAAGTATGCGGTGAGTGAGTGGTTGCGTCGGATCTGGGCAAAGCACATGTGGAGCAAAGTCCATACCCTGTATGAGATACTTTTAAGACGCAGAGTACGAGATGATGAATACTGTAAACTTGAAGCAGATTTCATAGAATTCATACAGTCTGAATACTGGGTTTCCAGGGCCGTGATAGTACCAAAGACAGTCCAGGTTACTCATAGCAACATCCACAAATCGGTTCCTCATGCATGCGCTCATGCGTTCATTGGCCTCTACACGTGTACAAGGTCACACAGTATGATAGACGGACTACTTACGTTGTATCATATCCATCCAGTCTCGTTCGTCGTCACCCGTCCCCGCATATCGGTCTTCAACCTCATTTGTCCTGGAATTCGAACATAATTCCATCTAACCATATCACGATTTACGGATATATGCTTTGCGCCTTCCCCCCCCCCCCCTTTTTTTCTTTTTTTTCTTCCTAAAAGTCATCGAGTGATAAGCGAATAACCCGGAATGGAATCTTCCACGAATGTCTTCTGCTTGTTCCTACAGCTTCCTAAACATATAAGGATAACAATTTGTGGAGAATCCCTGCCTTGCAGGCATTACGAAAGTATTTCCACAGTATGCTTCGTAACGGAGCACAGTCGCCTCGTGGATCCCGCGTTCAAAAACAGCCAGTCCACCTCAGGAACCCCCCACCTGGCTTACACCACACATCTCCAGAGGCAACACTTACCTAACTCGAGAAGGTGCTTAGTATTACCTATGCGAAGTTCCTTTTCGTGTTATCGTCCTTCGTAAGGAGTACTTCGTACAAACGGCGGCACAGTGACCCATATCGCCTCTTTTTATTCTTCGGCCACCAACTTTAAGCAATCCACAAGTCCAGAAACAATCGTGATGTATATCGTGTATTTTATCAGGAAACGAGACCAAAGAACAGTATCTTAATCGGGGTTCCTTGGGATCTTAATATCTTCGGATAGGATAGGATAGGAAGGCACTGTAGCATCTGGGGTTAGGGGATCGGATGCATCCGACTAGATCCACAGGTGCATACAACGTACAGTGAAAACACTGGCACGCCGCCACTACGAAGTACTCATTCACTGATAACATACCTTAATTACCTTAGGTAGCGGAACAAGTCTTGTGAGGAGGCAACGCAACATAACAACCATCATCCCACGGGGCAACAGCGGAACGCCAAAAAGCACAGGTACCTTGCTAAATAATACATGGACGGAGTACCTTAACAGGTAATTACGTTGTACGTACCTTCTAGGTTGGGGCCGAGGGCGATTCTCAACGCCTCTGGTTGTCTCTGGTCTCCGGTCGCCTTGTTCTCTTCTTTTTGCCTTGATACAGCCAGTCTTTTTACTTTTTCTTAACCTCTCTCCATTTTCGCTTCCTTCTATCCTTCGTATTGCGTGTCAGACTCGATGGCTCGAAGCTAAACAAACATAGGGACAGCATTCGACGAGGTCCTTTTGAAATTTTGATATTGACGGCTGAACTCTGGTTACTTACCTGCTTTGCCTTGTGACGAAGGACGAAGGACGGATGCAAAGCCTCACTGCCCTGCTTAACTACAAATTACGGGGAATACGTGTGACGCTGCCGAGGGAGCAGCTGAGCTTTCCCTTTTTGACTTCTATTCCCATAGACCTTCTAACATTGAAAAAGAGTTGACCTCAGTATACTTGATTGCATCATAGTTGATCATGCAGTGGGCTGTTCTTCCCATTTAATGCTCCCTGATACCAAGTTTTCATCATCGGTCTAAAGTGTGAAAAGAACTATGACTTACTCCCGTTATCCTATTAATCAAAGAAGAGAGGAAGGAAAAAACCCGGTTGACCTGGGAGATCCTGCTGAATTTATACTGGTGCCTACCTTGGGACATACGCTGATTCGTGCGCGCTGCAACGAAGCCACCTGGGTCTATGGCGAGACCTACGGCTTACGCTTTCGATTATTCCCCCAGCCCTTTCGTAGCACAGCGCGTCCTTCCTCTATAACGAAGCCACCTAGGTTTATGGCGAGACCTATGGCTTACGCTTTCGATTATTCCCACAGCCCTTTCGTCATTAGCACATCGACAAGTAGGAAGGTCAGTAGGCGGCCGTGTTATTGTTGTGGAAGTGTGTGCTGCGCCACCTCATAGGACTCAAAGAGTCGTGCCCAAGTTCACGAGCACTCATCATTCTATCACATACTAACCTCGCGGCCGCATCCAGACACCCACGGCGTGGGCTAACCTGACTATCAAGGGTTTTTTTTAGCCTGCTCCGTTCAGACAACAACGAGTCCTAAGAATACACCGAGAATCCCGACAGTGCCATGAGCTCCGTTACGGCAATGACCGCATCGACTGAGCTTCCCCTGGACACTAGGGCGAGGCTTGGTCGAGAGACTATCTCGAGCTGTTTCTGGGATCTGGCCGGGAACTAGAAGACGACCCCTCGGGGCGACCTCTCCCCCAAAGGATGAGAGCTTCACGAACACGACCTATCGGAATCCAGCTCTGGTTTCTTACCCAACTCTCTTGGGTCCATCCACACTGGCACCGATCCTATTTCTGCTCCTTCAAGAGAGCCAGAGCCCTTCAACTTCAACTCTCCGTTGAAAGCCTCCGAGTCAGTGACACGAACCACGATTCCACACCACGTATTACATCGTTAAAGGTGGTGTAATCAAGCATCCCGCCCCCTATCTCCATATCATCGCGCTCGAGGAAGAATAGCTCAACAGCGGCGAAAGATCACCATCCTCCCAGATAACGCATGGTTCTTAAGTCCTCAAAAGGCGCCAATGCTGGGAACGGCGGAATATAGCAGCATCTAAAGTACTTCGCGCCCACGCTGGACTCTAAAGTGGGTCTACGTCCACCGTGTGAGAAACTGAGAGGGAGGGGCATATAAAGACTCGGGAGTGCTATACGTTGTATCTCCGTTTCTTGTGTGGTACTGTACCGCGAGCGACAGAGGTACAATATTTCCTTAGATAAGATACTTACTTACTGGCTTGGCAAGCATCTCTATATCGCGTGTGTTCCTGGAGGCCATATCTTGGACCCGCTGCCGTCCCAAATTGGCCACTTGGGCAGTTGGCTAGGTCTGGGTCTTTTATACGTACTTATTCCGGCTATGTAGGTATATGTTCGCTTGGCGCTATGTACTTACCGAGGGTGGTTTGCGGGGCCGAAAGAAGCACCTCTGGCAGCGTCACACGCACTTAAGGTGGAGTACGGGGAGTACGGATTCGTTACCTTACAAACTGGAGCCCAGCTATACCTAAGTACCTTAATAAGCGATTTCGACTTTGTTCCGTACCGGAGTAATACACGTGTAGTTACTTGGTCCAAAGCCCCACCTCTCCATCTCCACTGTTGGGGAGGTTCGGATTTCTTTTAATTTGGACCGACGCTTACGGAGTACGGATACAGTTCCAAGTACGTTGTACTCCGTACGGATAACCTGTACCAGTGTCGTCGCTTCACTCGGAGACGGTGCGTGCACGTTGGGTACACAGTGACTCTGGCACCTACATAAGGTAATTACTGTACCTGGCCAACTGCCTTGTACCCACCCATCCACAGGCCACCCCCTAAGAATACCCGATACAGGCTACGGTTCCAGCGCATCGTCTGCTTAAGGGTCTACCCGGGAGAAAAGGAGAGCGCCCTAAGAACAGCCCTCGCCACCGCGACCGGCGGCCTGGAGCAACTGGCAGCGTCAAGTGTGAAAGTGTGAAGTGTCAAGTGCAAAGTGGCAGACAAGACACAGGAACAGGAGAGAATACAAGCCCAAGACACCAGAAAACCAAGCCAAACAAACCAGCAAAAGTCTCTCTCTCTCTCTGTCCATCTCTGGTTTGATGCTCTCGTCACTTGTCACTGGCCCCCATACCAGTATCCCCATTGTACCCTCGTTGTGACCCGATCTTCCGCCTCTCATTTTCATTTTCCTCCACTTCCTTCCGCACTACCACCACCTCTCTTCTTCTCTTCTCCTCCTCCTCCTCCTCCTCCTCCACACTCATCCCCCTTCCTCTTCTCTCTTCCTCACGTCGTCGGTTGCTCAGAGGTCTTCTCTTCCTGTTCTGCATCATCTGACTCCCTTCGTCCCCTTCGTCCTTTTCTGGGCTCGTCCGTTATTCAATCTCCAACCTCTGTTGCCGATTGTGACGGATCGAGGACTAAAGCCATGTCGACTCCCACTACGGCAACAGCCACACTGCCACCACACGCCCATTATCGCCATCCGCACTATCCGTACTCGCACCAGCCGCCGCCGTACCAGCAGCCAACGGGTAGCGGTACTTCCTCCTATCAGCAGCACCGGTCAGCGACCAACACCTCGACTTTGCTTCCTGCACCCACCACATCTGTCTCGTCATCGACGAGATTACCTCCGCCAACATCGTTTCCCACTGCGGACTCGATCAATCACTACGCCATTTCGTCTACCTCCAGCGTCAACGTCAACGTCAACAACAACTCACATCCCGTCGTCTCCGCGTCAAATGGCGTAGCAGCCATGCACCGATCCGACCTCGAAACTCGCTACTCCAACATGTCTGGTACCACTAGCCATAGCCATAGCCATCGCCATCATAGCCAAAGCCAAAGCCAACGGCAAAGCCAAACCGCGCAACTGCCGCAGCCTGCCCGGAAGAGGAGGCGATCCAGAGAACCCGATTGGAATACTTTTTACCGAAACGGTCTACCAAAGGAAGTCATCGTCATTGACGACACACCTCCTCCCAATTCGGGCGTGCCCAACGGTGGTGTCAAGGTCATCTCGACCGACCACGTGAATGGCTCCCTTCCCAACGGCGTGAGCGTAGCCAGGACGGCGGCCCCTGCGACTCGCCATGCCACCAAGAGACAGAAGCGAGACGACGACGTGCGTCGCTACGATCCCGTCCATCACAACAACAAGTACGCCGACGCCCACGCTGCTGCTGCCACCCCGAGCGGCTCTACCATCTCGACCGACAGAACAACCGCGTCTGGCCACCACACCACCGCGCCCACCTCGCTCTCATCCAACGGCTACTACGATGACACCCAAACCGGCCAGAAGCGGAAGCGAACCCGTCACCAGATTGCCCAGGAGGCCAAGAATAGAGAAATCGACTTGCTCAGCGACATTTGCCCCAGCTACAAGCCTCCGCCTTATCCTCCCAAGAAGGCAGCGGACGTCCCCGTTCGGGTCATCCACGATGTGAGCCGAACCACATTTACTCGCCACCTCCCTCCCTATATGCCGGGTGTTTTACTGACAAAATCGAACAAACAGCCTTACTCTAAGAATAGCAAGTACGACGACGACGATGGCCATTATGTCGTGGTTCCCGATGCCGACTTGACAGATAAGTGTACGACACGGTCCTTTTCTCGTCTTTTTTTTCTGTCCTTTTGTTTTTGTTCCTCGTGTCTCGTGTTTACTCTCGACCCGAGAAAGGAAAAAAAATGACTCGGCTACTGACCTATTTCCCTCAACAGATCAGATGATCCAACTCCTCGGTCAGGGCACTTTCGGCAAGGTCGTCAAGGCCCGCGATCGGAAACGAAACAAGCTTGTGGCCATCAAGATCATTCGATCGGTCCAGAAGTACCGCGACGCCTCGAGGATCGAACTCCGAGTGCTGGCCACACTCAAGGCCAACGACGAGGAGAACCGCAATCGATGCATTCACCTGCGTGACTGTTTCGACTTCCGCGGCCACATCTGCATCGTCATGGACCTTCTCGGCCAAAGCGTCTTTGATTTCTTGAAGGGCAACAATTTTGTTCCTTTCCCCAACAGCCAGATTCAGAGCTTTGCTCGTCAGCTGTTTACCAGCGTAGCATGTACGTTTGTCTGCGTTCCTCTTCACTGGCCTCTTTTTTCTCCTTCCATTCGCCTCGTATGACGGCGCTCGGCGCTGACGCTTCCTTAGTCTTGCATGATCTCAACCTGATCCATACCGACCTCAAGCCGGAGAATATTCTCCTCTGCAACAATGCGTACCAGACATTCACATACAACCGCAAGATCCCGTCCTCTTCGACCACCGTCAACCGACAGGCGAACCAGCGGCGGGTGCTGCTGGACACGGAGATTCGTCTCATTGATTTTGGCTCGGCCACTTTCCAAGACGAATATCACTCCTCGGTGGTATCGACGAGGCACTACCGGGCTCCCGAGATTATTCTCGGCCTAGGCTGGTCGTTCCCGTGCGATATATGGAGCATAGGCTGCATCCTGGTCGAGTTCTTTACCGGAGACGCTCTCTTCCAAACCCATGACAACTTGGAACATCTCGCTATGATGGAGATGGTCGTGGGCTATCGGATCGATACGCAACTCGTGCAGAGCGTCAACAGGATGGCACAAAGAAGCAGTGGAAATCCGGCATCCAAGTTTGTCACACCATCACGCCAACCCAGGAAAAGATCTTGTCATGTTCTGCGCTGACCACCGACGTCCCCCCCCCCCCCCCCCCCCCCCCATCCAGGTATTTCAAGCGGAATAAACTCGATTATCCTACCGCCGATACGACGCGGGCCTCTCGACGATTCGTCAAGGCAATGAAACTTTTGCCTGTAGGCGACCTTTATTGAAACGTAAAAAAAGAAGAAAAAACGAACAAAAGACTAACTTGGTTCTAGGAAATCATCCCGCAAAACACAACGTTCCTCAAGAATTTCTTGGATCTCCTCAAGAGGATCTTTGTCTACGATCCCGCGAAACGCATCACAGCAAAGGAAGCGCTGACCCATCCTTTCTTCAAGGAACCAGCGCAGCCCGACGATGGCACTGAGGCGGCCAAGATTCGCCTGGAGCGATCCAGGATAGAGCCGGAGAGCTCCCACCATGTTCCGTAGACACGTCCACGTGCATAAGGCCTCTTGGATGATCGCTCGGAGGGTAGTGGAGACTGCGGAATTTATACCAAAGCGCCCTGATTTTCTTTTATGAAGCAAGACACCGATGGACACGGATATTGGCGTTGATGTCGTCGGTTTCTCTACCGTGCTGTGCAGCCCGAGGTTGATGAAGCGGAAAGAAAGCGGAAAGCAGAGGGATGGGAGGCATGTCTTATTTTTATCCTTAGCATGCATTGTCACATGGGAAATCTGCTCCTTTGGCTTCTGGGGGACTTGGCTCAATATGCTTTTTCGGGGGCTGAGTGAGGGAACCGACGGCCGGGGTTTCTAGTTTCTTGAGGTCATCTTCTCCTTTTTCCTTCTTTTTCGTTGCGCAAAAACGAAAGCGGACGGATGAGCAGGATGACCATGGGCTCGGTTCGTTGTTCATTGGGTTCTTGGGAACGGAAATGGGAATGGAATGAACTCATTGCAGACCACGCCCGGGATGAACTCGACATAGATTCGCTTTGGTCGCCTTCGCCGTGCGAGATTGAGCTGCCCCTGAACTCAAGACGTCAGGGGGAAAGGCAATCGTTGTTGGTCGTGCTACTATTGCTTCCTCCCGACCAAGCATTTGTTCGTCCATCGGTCCCCCGGGAGCGTGCAGCCCGCCGTGTCGTCCACCGGGGAGATTTGACCGGACTCCAATGGTTGTCCAGTCCCTGAACTTCTTAGGCATCTCGATTCGTTCAGGACAAGGACAAAGTATCAGGACAAAGACAAAGGACCGGGACAAAGGAAATGGTTCAAAGGAAATAGAAGGCGAGCTAGGTAAGTTGTCCTTACACGTCTTCAACTAACGGGATTGTTCTCGAGAGCAAGGCCCCTTGTTCTGCTACTACAGATTCGGGTATCGCAAGACGAATGTCCATGGATCATCCTCCTATAAATGCTGCCAGTTATCTCCACGCTTCTCTCCTCCAGAAATCGCCAAAGAAGAAAACTGATTTATACTCAACCAACTACGACAATCGATTGACAAGGTGCTCGAAGCCTCTGGTCACTCGGCAGATATTCTATCAACCATCAAACAACAAGGTAACGTACGTATTGACTAGCTGATCGTCTCCGTTTTGGAACGATACCGGCTTCAGTGTGTATACCCAACACGCGACACACGTTTTTGTTTAGGCCGGCAATGGCTGACAGCGATTACGTTGAAGATTTCCCTCAGCGGGCGGTGTTAAGCCTCACTGGCGTTCTCTCCCTCTCACCGCAATATGGCGTCACAAGCCCGTCCGAGGCATGGCTGGACAAGCAAAAGAAACTGGTGGAGCAGCTGCCCAAATGCTGCCTCCGACCTCCCAGCGACGTCATGAGCCCCATCAAACTCCTGACCAGGGGCCTGATGAAAGTGTCGGAGAAGCACGCGCTGCCTTTCGTCCCTAGCGCCGCGGTGCTGTGCTCGGCACATAAGGCCCTGAACCCGTGGCGGATCCGGAGCCTCTTCCTCCTCGTGGCTTGCGAGGTGGGCATCCGGAGCGACCGTATCCGCCGATTTCGAGGGTTCGAGGACGGCATCCCGCTCTCGCAAGAGGTGCAGGACTTTGTCTACCGCATGACCTCGGTGGCGAGCCTGTGGATAGCTCCGGGGGACTTCAAGCGCCGTTTCGGATACCCCCCGCCGCAGGAGCTTCCGCGCCTCGCGTCCGGCTGCGAGGCGTGCATGTTGGCCATCGTGGGGGCGAGGGCGCAGCTGCTCGTCGACCTCCGCGCCAACATGCTCTCCCGCCGACGACAACACCGGAGCCACCGGGAACCCGCGCTCCTGCGCTTCGTCGACGCCTGGACCGAGTGGTTCGGCAACAGTGCCGAGCTGCTGGTGGCCGAGAGCGAGAGGCTGGGGAACGAGCTGCGGGGGATTCGGAAGGAGATTGGTCGCCGGCGTCACTTGAAGCGGAAACAGGCCCGCAAGGAGGGGAACCCTGTGCCGTATAGCAAGTCGAGGAAGCCGGAGAAGAACGCACAGGGGTATCCGATGCCGAGCCCCTCGCGGCGGTCACGGCCGTCGCGGCCAGCGAGCCATGGCGCGGAGCCTTCTGCTGAGAGGGAGGGAGAATACAGGAGTTCTTCCCCTGTACACGATACGCCCTACGCTATGTCTGGCGGACTTGGCCCGGTTCCGACGCCGACCTCTGCCGCCACGACGGACAAATACCATTTCGAAGAAGACGAGGACGGTCGTGACGAGCAGGATCCCCACTGGGCTGACGATATTGGGAGCTACTACTGGGACAACAACAACCCGGGCGCCCGGGCGAACTGGGGCCAAGCTGCTGCAGACGCCGTGCATCCGGCTTTTCGCGTAGGTGCTGCGAATGCGAACACTCAAGGAGGAGGAGGCGGCGGACCACGTCGGGGCTCTACCCCTGCCCTCTCTTCAACCGACATGCCCCGGCCTATTCCGTCCCCCGTCCCACACAGGGCCAGCAGGAGCAGCATCGTCCGAGAGAAGCAGGCCGACCACGACCAAGACAATGACGACGATGCGTGGACCGAGCCAACGCTACACACCGCAGGCGGCCGTACGAACCTCGACCTCGCGCCGCCCATCCCCGTCACCCCTAGCCTTGTGAACTTGACCCGCGACGCCACCGACGACTGGAATGCTGCGTCGCCGTCCTCTGTGTATTCGACCGACGGTCCTGCGCGTCCGCATCCGCCGCCGGCCGATACGTCGTCGTCGTCTCAGCAGAAGCAACAACGCCAGGGAGGAAAGCGGAATAGCGCCTCCGCCTCCGCCTCCGCTGTGCCGTCGAGCCGGGTAACGTCGTTTGGTATGTTCATGCGGCATCACGACGGCACGAAGCCCGTGGAAGACGACGCGAGGACGATTCGACCGGAGGATTCCATCTCTACGGTTGGGACTCAGAATAACCACCATCATGATGATGGCGGGTCGAGGAGGAGGGGAGGGAAGTTGGGAGGGTTGTATCGGGAGGATGGGGTGATGAAGTGAGGACGAAGGGAAAATTACATGCTACGACGGCCAGAGACGAAAGGTTCACAAATATAAATAATATAACAACAACAAAGCACGGAATCGTGGTTCATTTCAATACAGAGGCGCCCGCCCAGATATGCCAGGTAGGAGGATTCTCGAAGCGGACAAACGCCCTTCGCCATGCCATGCAAACCCCCATCATCCATTGATCCTTTCCCATGCTATGAACAGATAAATCCAGACAGAGAGAGACATTGTACATTTGTTATTCTTTTTTTTTCTTTTTTCCCTTTTTCTTTCAGTTTTCTTGTTTCTTCTTAGCTCTTTCACTCGCTGATGGCCCGCAACGCCTGCGTAAGCGTCACGATCCTCAGACTCCTCCCCCTCTTCAACCCCCCGGCGGGAGGCGCAGCGCCTTCACTTCCCCGCCCTTCTCCACCCTGCCGCGACTGCGACTGCAACTGCGACTGCGACTGCGAGGGCGGCAGGGCAGTGGGAGCAGCGTCATCCCTCCACTTGCGAAACACGCGCTTCAGGTCGCGCGGGATGCCCTCGAGCACGACGGTGGAGACGGGGACGTAAGGGCGGTCCTCCATGCTGGAGGCGAGGATGGCGTACTCCTGGGCGAAGTCGAGGGCGTTGCGGAAGGCCGGGTACTGGAACTGGGCGTCGCGGCCGACGAGGATGTACATTTCGAAGAAGGCGTCGAGGATGTAGACGTGGGTTGTCTGGAGGTCGGATTGGCTGAAGGGGGAGATTTCGATGA